TTTTGCGATTTTTGCAATTTTCAGGGAATTTTTGCGATTTTCGCAATTTTCAGGAATTTTTGCGATTTTTGCAATTTTCAGGAATTTTTGCGATTTTTGCAATATTCAGGGATTTTAGCGATTTTTGCAATTTTCAGGCATTTTTGCGATTTTTGCAATTTTCAGGCATTTTTGCGATTTTTGCAATTTTCAAGCATTTTTGCGATTTTTGCTATTTTCAGGAATTTTTCCGATTTTTGCAATTTTCAGGAATTTTTGCGATTTTTGCAATTTTCAGAAATTTTTGCGATTTTTACAATTTTCAGGAATTTTTGCAATTTTCAGGAATTTTTACGATTTTTGCAATTTTCAGGAATTTTTGCGATTTTTGCAATTTTCAGGAATTTTCGCGATTTTTGCAATTTTCAGGAATTTTTGCGATTTTTGCAATTTTCAGGCATTTTTGCGATTTTTGCAATTTTCAGGAATTTTTTCAATTTTTGCAATTTTCAGGCATTTTTGCAATTTTCAGGAATTTTTGCGATTTTTGCAATTTTCAGGAATTTTAGCGATTTTTGCAATTTTCAGGAATTTTTGCGATTTTTGCAATTTTCAGGAATTTTTGCATTTTTTGCAATTTTCAGGCATTTTTACAATTTTTGCAATTTTCAGGCATTTTTGCGATTTTTGCAATTTTCAGGAATTTTTGCGATTTTTGCAATTTTCAGGAATTTTAGCGATTTTTGCAATTTTCAGGCATTTTTGCGATTTTTGCAATCTTTAGGAATTTTTGCGATTTTTGCAATTTTCAGGCATTATTGCGATTTTTGCAATTTTCAGGAATTTTTGCGATTTTTGCAATTTTCAGGAATTTTTGCATTTTTTGCAATTTTCAGGCATTTTTACAATTTTTGCAATTTTCAGGCATTTTTGCGATTTTTGCAATTTTCAGGAATTTTGCGATTTTTGCAATTTTCAGGAATTTTAGCGATTTTTGCAATTTTCAGGCATTTTTGCGATTTTTGCAATCTAGGATTTTTTGCGATTTTTGCAATTTTCAGGAATTTTCGCGATTTTTGCAATTTTCAGGAATTTTTGCGATTTTTGCAATTTTCAGGAATTTTTGCGATTTTTGCAATTTTCAGGAATTTTTTCAATTTTTGCAATTTTCAGGCATTTTTGCAATTTTCAGGAATTTTTACGATTTTTGCAATTTTCAGGAATTTTAGCGATTTTTGCAATTTTCAGGCATTTTTGCGATTTTTGCAATTTTCATGCATTTTTGCGATTTTTGCAATTTTCAGGAATTTTTGCGATTTTTGCAATTTTCAGGAATTTTAGCGATTTTTGCAATTTTCAGGAATTTTTGCGATTTTTGCAATTTTCAGGTATTCTCGCGATTTTTGCAATTTTCAGGAATTTTAGCGATTTTTGCAATTTTCAGGAATTTTTGCATTTTTTGCAATTTTCAGGCATTTTTACAATTTTTGCAATTTTCAGGCATTTTTGCGATTTTTGCAATTTTCAGGAATTTTTGCATTTTTTGCAATTTTCAGGAATTTTAGCGATTTTTGCAATTTTCAGGCATTTTTGCGATTTTTGCAATCTTTAGGAATTTTTGCGATTTTTGCAATTTTCAGGCATTTTTGCGATTTTTGCAATTTTCAGGAATTTTTGCGATTTTTGCAATTTTCAGGAATTTTCGCGATTTTTGCAATTTTCAGGAATTTTTGCGATTTTTGCAATTTTCAGGAATTTTTGCGATTTTTGCAATTTTCAGGAATTTTTTCAATTTTTGCAATTTTCAGGAATTCTTGCGATTTTTGCAATTTTCAGGAATTTTAGCGATTTTTGCAATTTTCAGGCATTTTTGCGTTTTTTGCAATTTTCAGGCATTTTTGCGATTTTTGCAATTTTCAGGAATTTTTGCGATTTTTGCAATTTTCAGGAATTTTAGCGATTTTTGCAATTTTCAGGAATTTTTGCTATTTTTGCAATTTTCAGGAATTTTCGCGATTTTTGCAATTTTCGGGAATTTTAGCGATTTTTGCAATTTTCAGGAATTTTAGCGATTTTTGCAATTTTCAGGAATTTTTGCAATTTTTGCAATTTTCAGGAATTTTTGCGATTTTTGCAATTTTCAGGAATTTTTGCGATTTTCGCAATTTTCAGGGATTTTAGCGATTTTTGCAATTTTCAGGCATTTTTGCGATTTTTGCAATTTTCAGGCATTTTTGCGATTTTTGCTATTCTCAGGAATTTTTGCGATTTTTGCAATTTTCAGGAATTTTTGCAATTTTCAGGAATTTTTGCGATTTTTGCAATTTTCAGGAATTTTTACAATTTTTGCAATTTTCAGGCATTTTTGCGATTTTTGCAATTTTCAGGAATTTTTGCGATTTTTGCAATTTTCAGGAATTTTAGCGATTTTTGCAATTTTCAGGCATTTTTGCGATTTTTGCAATCTCAAGGAATTTTTGCGATTTTTGCAATTTTCAGGAATTTTTGCGAATTTTGCAATTTTCAGGAATTTTTGCGATTTTTGCAATTTTCAGGAATTTTTGCGATTTTTGCAATTTTCAGGAATTTTTGCGATTTTTGCAATTTTCAGGAATTTTTACAATGTTTGCAATTTTCAGGCATTTTTGCAATTTTCAGGAATTTTTGCGATTTTTGCAATTTTCAGGAATTTTAGCGATTTTTGCAATTTTCAGGCATTTTTTGCAATTTTTGCAATTTTCAGGCATTTTTGCAATTTTCAGGAATTTTTGCAATTTTCAGGAATTTCAGCGATTTTCAGGAATCTGCAAATATCGCAAATATGCCAGAAAATTGCAAAAATTGCAATTTTTGCAATTTTCAGGAATTTTTGCAATTCTTGCCCTTTCCGCAATTTTCAGGAATTTTTGCAGTTTTTAGGAATTTCTGCAATTCTTGCAATTTTCAGGCATTTCTGCAATTTACAGGAATTTTTGCAATTTTCAGGAATTTCAGCGATTTTTGCAATTTCTGAAAATTGCAAAAATCGCAAAAATTCCTGAAAATTGCAAAAATAGCAAAAATTTCTGAAAATTGCAAAAATTGCAAAAATTTCTGAAAATTGCAGAAATTGCAAAAATTGCGAAAGATCCTGAAAATTGCAAAAATTACTGAAAATGGCAAAAGGGAGGGGACATTTGTGGTGGATCACCCTGTACCAGGTATATTGGCGACCTTATATATGTGTGAAAAATAGTTGTTAACGTTGAAACTTGCTGAAAATCTCTACTATTTCGAATCAGCAAACCATAGAGCCGATCCGCTGCAGATACCATATTCTCTATGTGTGAAGTGAAAGTAATAAGTTTGCGGTCGAAAGTTACTCCTAGATCATTAAGCACAACAGGTCTTTTCAGAGTCGTGGACATGATTGAGCTTTTTTGTAATTATTTATCTATTGAAGCTTGTTCTTCAGTTTTTCAAACTATTGTTTTTTTCAAATTCTATTTGATTGTCTCTCGCAGATGACAACCAAAAAGTTATTCTGAACGGATTGATGGATCCAATAGAGAACAGGATGACGCTAAGGTATTCGGATGGGACTTTTTACCGAATCATTCTGCCGGGTCTATCGTCGACGTGTCTGGTGGAGAGCTGCTTGAAAACTTTGCGGCAAATTTTGCAAAGAGATGTCGCCATCGTGCTGCTGTGCAGATGGTATACCACAAGGAACGTCATCGGGGCCCGTGATGTTACCGCCGAGCAAGAATGGACGATGTTTTGCGGACTGATTTTCGGTATGAGTTTGTTTTGGTGTTGGGGATTCTTTGAGATTTGGAGAATTTCTACAAACTACTAAATAATACTCGAAATCATCTCCACGACATTTTATAGTTTGCCAGCGGAATTATGTAAAAAAAAAATGATAGAAACAAAATGAAACCAACGAGCAAACATTTTATTGTGAATAGAATATTCCTGTAAAGAAAAGAAAATATAAAATAAATGAATTTGTACACAGGGTGTTAGTAATATTTAGAATTTATAACTAGTTTCATGGATGAAAAAATTCTGTTATGCCGGGAATCTAATATGATACTATACAGGGTGGCCCTTCAAAAACGAAACAGAGGCTCTGTAGGTCGCCAAAACCGGATTATGAAAAAAATCTGAAAAATGTCAACTACATTTTCGAGGGAGACATCGCTCTAAAATAATTTCAGCTCTGCGGCGTTGCTGCTTCTAACGAAAAGAAGCAACAACTTTGTTATTTCAAATGGAACACCTTGTATTTCATTGCATTTCTTCCCGAAGAGCTTATTTCACCAAAAAATCACACTTGAGATCTAGCTGGAATGATTTCAGGGATATATAGGGTGTTCAAAATCGAGATTTTTCAACTGTAGCATTTTTTTGTGTCAAAACTATTCATTATTGGTCAAAACGGCTCATATAATCCTATCTCAACTTTCGAATCACTATCTACTGACATTTATTTGAAACAAATACCGGGTGGTCCAAGATTCAGAATTCTCATCACCCTGTATTTGTTCCAGTTAAATGTCAGTAGATAGTAAATCAACAGTTGAGATAGGGACATTAAAGTCGTTTTGATCAATAATAATTAGTTTGGACACAAGAAAATGCTAAAGTTGATTAATCTCGATTTTGAACACCCTATATCTCTGAAATCATTCCAGCTAGACCCCAAGTATGATGCATAGATGAAATCAGCTCTTCGGGGAAAATCTAATAATGCAATGAAATACAAGGTGTTCCATTTGAAATAACAAAGTTGTCGCCTCTTTTCGTTAGAAGCGGCAACGCCGCAGGGCTGAAAATATATTAGAACGATGTCCCCCTCGAAAATGTAGTTGACGTGTCTCAGATTTTTCCTATAATCCGGTTATGGCGACCTACAGAGCCTCTGTTTCGTTTTCGAAGGGCCACCCTGTATAGCCGAGCGCCTATTCCACATATTATTTTTAAAATTTGGTTTTCTGCTTATCCAATTTTTTTTCCTCGCTCAGAACTTCTCGGATACGAAGACGAACATTGCAGCGAAATGTCAAAGGAAATTCCGATCACCCCTTCCAACGTCAACAAAAAACAAAAATATTCGACGGGATCCGATGACGATTGGTTTTACCTGGAAAATTCCTCGCATCGTCGCGTCCAACGTGACCTGATGAAAATGCTGAAACTGGATTATGAGACTGAAACGGCCAAAGAGGAAGAACCGCCTACAGGTAATTTTGTTGGCGAACATTTTTGTTTTTTGGGAATTTTTTTCGTCTAGGTTCATTTCACGTCATTTTCCAATCAGAAATCAGAAACTTCCATTTTGGAAAATCGGTGCAAATTTTGTTCAAGAAAATTATTCATACAAGAGAATTGTTTATTTTTCAGTTATCTGTTTTTAAATATTGTACAATTTTTCGTTTCGGAAGATTCCAAATAAAATTTTCTATTGCGGAAAAATGTTCTATTCCGTAATTTTGCTCGGCACTGAAATTTCCAACCAAAAATTTTAATATTTCTTCGTTTTGTTTATCAACATTAAGATATCGAAAACACCAATATAGTTGAAATATAAAATTTGTTCAGAACAATTCTTGACTTGAAAATATCAAGTATGCTTTTTTTATCACAATTTTTCAGAAAATATACAGGGTGAGTGAGTTTTCTGTAGCAGGACCTTAACAGCTGAGAGAAGACATTTCTATGAGATGAAAATTCTATGTAAACATATTATATACGTGTGAGCTTCGTTTCCGATATACAGGGTTTCAATGTATGTACAAGATTTTTTTGTTTTTCCAATTTTCTCCTACAATTTCCAAAACAATGAATTGAAATTTGGTACACTTGGTACAATTCAGAAACGCAATATTTGTGGCTATCAAGCTTTCTTAAATACCTACAGGATGATACACTTTCGGGGTAGTGCAAACTATGAAACCCTGTATATCGGAAACGAAGCTTCCACACATATATGTTTGTAGAGGAATTTCATCTTGAAAAAATGTCTTCTTCAAGCTGTTGAAGTCCTGCTACAAAAGCTGACTCACCCTGTATAATCATTACTTTCAGGCGATCTCAACACGAAGGCTATCCTGTTTCCATACATCCGGCAGGTAAGATTTGCTCTCTTCTGTATTTCAATATCATTAGTGATACATTTTTAGGAATTTTTAATCTATACTCAATTTGAACATTTCAAAGTGCATATCGTTTCATTTGTTTTCAAGTGCTGATTATCATTTCAATCCAAATATGAAAAAAGTTCGCCTCCTCAGAAGGTGCTCGCCCTAGACTATAGTGAATTTTCTGGACTGAATACTCACTGCAGAAAACAGAGAACATCAACACACAACTGAAGAATCAGATAATAAGAGGAATATGTTTGAATATTCGCATCTTGACTAGATGAAATGAGAATCTGAAGTTGAGGGTGACGTTAGGAAGTTAGGTTGACAATGTAGTTCGTCTTCTTCTCCTCTTCTTGTATTTCTGGGAACTCTAGGCATTACGCTGTTGCCAGTGCCACAAGATATTTTGGGTTTGAATAAAATCTCGATCATTGATAGGAATACTAGGATATTTTTATTGGTACGGAAGCATCTTGCAAGTATATAAATATTCAATAAGTGATTATTAGGGACCAGGTCGAACGATTGTTTTTTGTGAATGTGAATATTGTTGTCATTGGTCATATTGAATCTCATCAAGCAAATACTAGTTACCAATCTGGCAGCGTTGAGAAATGTTTTCCTACTTTTTATGCGAAAGCCAGAATTTAGATAACGATGGCTCAGTTCGGTTCATAACGTCATCGAAACTGGCGTTTTTCGAAGGTGCCGAATTTCATTATTGAAAAATATATATTTGCGTAAATATTAAATAACGAATGATCGCATCAAATACTATTTTTCTGCGACCGACACAAAAGTCGTTCATTTTAATACCAAAAGTAGCTCTTGAAGTAACGTTTCTATTATTGTCACAAACATAGGTATGTTGCTAGGCAACACTATTAGTTCCTAGGAGCTAAAGTTGAACTTTTGCTCCTAGGAACTAAAAAGGATGTACTAGGCCATCAAGAATAAACAACATTGTTATGGTTGGTTATTTGGGTTGGGACGCATACCTGATTTGTTCCCGATTTTGGCAGATTTGGCATTTCATACCCATGCTGGAGACAATTATTATAATACACCAAATTATAGTTGAGAATTTTTGTTTTCATCAGGAAAGCCTTCAAGATTCACATACTCGCTTGATCTGTATTTCATTCATTCTCAGGATCTGATTGATTGGATATCTTGTTTTTGAATAATCACGGCCAGCAATACTTTTTTGTCTCACACAACGATATCGTTTACCTTTATTTGATTACGGAGCCAAACATAGTGGAATATAGAGAGAAATAAATTATCGCTAATATTATCATGGATATGGTCACTAACATAACATTTTCCATTTATTTTTCCTATATCTGGCACTGGCGCGGTATTTGCTATTAGGGCTGACACCTGGTCCAAATGAATTCATCGATTCATCGATTCAATAGAATACACAAATGGGTCACTTTGTGGTTGTATTTATATTGAAACTACAATTCGAACATCCTTGAAAATTGAATAAACCTGATCTGTAAATGCAGGTAGAATATTCTCACCACACGGATTATTTGTTGCATTGCATACATATGGCACGGCATCCACGTTTCGGGTATAGTATTGAATTCGTGCCTGTAGTATCTGATGATGCATGTCAACACAAATTGTAACAAAGTAAAGTCTGAGGTCTAGCTTCAATCTACTTACATATTTTATAATAATAAAGGTATTATAATAATCTGTCAAGTAAGTCACATTGGTTAATTCTTTCGGTTGCAGAAAAAATGGTATGATCCATTCGGATCAAAAATGACTTTGTATGACTCGCAAATTGCATTTGCTTGTCAAACAAAGTGTCACTTTTGATCCTAATAAAACAATCTACTATTATACACGGAATTATCAATATGAAGTAGGTTTGTAGTGTAAAATCGACTACCGTGTGACTATATTGACTGAATATTTGGGTTTCCTTCATTAATTGATATGAATTTCATAATACTATAACTTTTATACGTTTCTTGAATTGCTCAACTAATTTTCGATCTAAAGATCGCAGTCTGTATCAAACCGATTTGCGCCGCCAAAACTAGAATTTATGTTGATAGTCCTCCCGGAATATTAATGAAATCGCTACAGTATCGGTAATATTCTTTGAAGCTCTTAGACTGTCACAAGCTTGACTCATCTGAACTCAATCTCTACAATATTCTGAATTACAAATATCAAACTTTGTGAGTAAATCTATGTAGAACAAAATCACTCCTTTAGATACACTTCGGTCTGCACTTACTCTACGAAGACATCAAACTAAACACCTTGCGATCCGAGGAACTCCTACCTCTGATGAAGCTTCTGAACAAGCTCTCTGTCGATCTCTATCTAGACGAGTACAACCTGCATTATTGGTACGACTTTCCACATCACGCGGTACTGCGGAAAAATTCTGTCGTACCGCTGAACGAACTGAAGAACGTCAACGTTTGGCCTGGATTCAGCGAGAAGCCTGTGAACGTTTTCAAGTACATTTACGAGCTGTTGGGAGATGTGCCAGCGCAGCCCTATCCCTATTTGGCCAATGTCAATGCCAGATCCAGGGATGTAGTCCAGGTGAACGAAAAGTCATTAGTAAACAGTCAAATTGAATCAAGTCGTTGCCAAATCAATGCGGAAGTTTCCTTCAGATGAATTTTTATAAAATAAGCTCGGAACTCTTTAGTTTTATGTCCACGCTGTATAGAATTGCGACCGATAAAGTCCAAGTCGTTTTCATTTTCGAATTAAAGCAAACTGTGACGTACATTCTGAATCTAGTCTGTATAGCTAGCGAATAGCTAACGAATGAAAAAAATAGAAGAAGAAGTAAAACTGGTAAACAAAAACATACATAACCACAAATGCACTCGGAGCAGGAATGCAGAGGGTAGTTGGCTTCATTCTGAAAGGTTATGGTTTTGTTATTTATGCACTGAAATATTTTGAATAGAGCTCGATCTTAAACGAAAATAGCATGGAATCAATTAATCACTATCGGCTACTTTCAATGATACTATCCTTCCTAATTTACTACCATCGGTCAGAACAGAATGGAGCCGACACCCATGGCTCCTTCCTCTTGTTGTGCCTTTCAGTATTTTGAGTGGTGCGGACGGACTCGAAGTATTAGGCGCTGTTGCAAGATATAATCTTCAACTTTCCTATAAAATAGATCAGTTTCATTAAGGAACGAATACATTAGCAAAAAAAATGACTGACAAGTTATGAATAACATATTGTGATATAACAGTAGTGAGAAATTATAGATAATATCGCAAAATATCATAATTTATCTTTATTAGTAATCAACTTCATTCAGCCAATGAGAGATATTTATGGGAATTATTCATAATACTTGGCAAAGTAGGATTGGAGAACCATAGTATGATATAGTAATCATGCATTCAAAGAACAATTTCCGAAAATCTAGACATATTGATGATGTCGGCAACGTCGTACTGGCACAGGGAATCGTATTTAACTCTGTGTGAATGTAGATTTTCAGAAAGTAAGTCATAGGAATGGTGGAGGAGCCAAGTTCCTCTTTTATATATTTTTTTCTGAAGTGAAATTAGATCTTACGAAAAAAAGAAAATAGTTATTTGTTTAACTAGGCAGCAAAGTAGTAGATTGACTGCCGTGGCTGAATTCATAGCCGAGCGTAGCGAGGCTAGGAATCCAGCTAAGGCAGTCAATCTATTTTGCTGCCGAGTTGAACATATAATTTTTTCTCCGATTGTTCATAATGATATGGGAGAATATTGTATTTGCGAATTAATACAATTCCCACAATCTCTTTATTCTTCCTGTATAGTGTTCAATTAAAATAAAATTTGATAGAAATCGCAGTTGTTGGTTTGACAATTCATGAAATTTCTGACTGTTGTGCGAAAAAATATCGGTATATTCAAATTATTATATAATGGACAGTGATAGCGACATGGAAGTATACTTACACCTTCATTAATAAGGGAGGTGGCAAAAAATAAAGAGTTGAATTTGTTGCCGGAGAAGTCTCGGATGAAATATGAGGGAAATTATAAACGATTCATGGATTTTTAATTTTGCTGATACATATCAATCAGCAAAGTAACCACTTTGCTGCCTAGGCAGGAAAAGTAATACTTTGCTGATTGATATGTGTCAGCAAAATTAATATTTGCTGCCAATCGGAGGAAAAAATATGTATGTATTATTTTTTTACAAACTTCACAGTGAGATAAAAACTTCAATTTAGGAAACTTCCCCATTAAAAATCATCGAGTTTTTGTCCTCCAAATTTTTCACTTGTTTTTTCATTTACAAAAGATTTTTAATAATTTTGTTCATCGAAATAAAACTAGACAACACTAATGTCGCACCCCTAAATGTTGCTCCTGTTAAAATATGAATAACTTTTTTCTGCTTTGTACAATTTGAATTCGGATCACACTGTTCGCTAGTCTAGTCCTTCAGCTATAAATAATCTCGTACTTCTTCATATGAAATCACTACAACGGTGAAAAAAATTGGAATTTCAAAAGAATCCCCAGAAATAGTTTCTGTTCAACTTTGACAGCAGAGGCATGGAGGTGATCTCATGACCTAGGTAAATTGTTCAAATTGTCTCCTTATCTCTTTTATTTACAGTGATCTCAAATGATTTTCAAAATCTCAGGCTCATTTCGAAGCTGATACTTGAAATGAAGAGATTTGTGGATCAGAATATTCATTTGGCTAAATTTTGGGGTGCGGCGAAATTAGCGTTGCGTAGTTTATGTATTTTACTCAAAATTGCCTGGATATTTGCGGTTTCAGCTTTCTTGCATTGATTTGAAGAATAAGGTTGATTCTGTTTAAAAATCTGATATGCACCTTGTAGGAGGGAAAAATATACCTTGTCAATTTTGTTGTGACTGTGACGAATCCTGACTTGATACAACATTTATTTGCTAAGATATGCTGGCCATTCTACCGTTATCGTTCAATTTTACAAAATGTATGTGGAAATCACATCGTGCATTCTTTAATTTTTTCAGTTGTGTGGTCTGATATCTCAGTCAAACAAATCAGTGCTTTCCGAAGTACTCCTGGATAGTTACGTCAAAGAAATAACCGGTAGTTCGAACCCCGAAGAATGCCACAGTCACTATCAGAAAGCCGCATACATCGATAACACAGTCTTGGAACAAGTCGTTCTGTTTATGGTCGACATGAAAATAACCACCAGGTAAGGAAGAAAGCCACAATAAGACTTCTTGTCACATCGCCCTGTTTTCTAGTTACCTCGAAACTTTACCTCACGCCATCTACTTCCTATTTTACAACGCTCTCTGGAAGTGCAGAGAGAACCCGCCTTCCAATTGGCCGGCGGAAGCATACTATCTTCTCTACAGGGAAGATCTGGCAGCACAGGCTCTGAAAATAGAGAAAGAGAAACAGGAATCTTCTCAAGAACTGTTGGGGATGTACAGCTGTACGCAACTGGAAGATGTGATGCCCGGTAAGTATCGAACAACAATGTTTGCATGAAATCCTACCGACTGCGCCAAATTCATCGGGTAAGTGGAATGTGTACTTGTTGAAAATTTCGGTGACCGGAAATTCTTCGAATGGTTCAACATCTTCTCAACCATTCGATCTAAACGACCTAAACTAGAATATGCCTCAGTTATATGGAATCCCCACACCATTGTATACTCCAAAATGATAGAAAACGTACAAAGGAAATTCCTGAGTAACCTTCATACAGAACTCAACTGTTGGAATTTGAGCAAAGAACACTAGAGTCCCGAAGAGATATCAGTGATGTGCTGTTTGTTTCAGACATAATCAGTGATGAATTGAATGTACCTGATCTACTTAGTCATATAAACATTCGTGTACCTGAAGTAAAACTACGGAGAAGAAATAATATTATTTTCTACATTGAAGATAAATCTTGCTCACCCTTTGGAAATTGCCAAATGTAAATGAATATAACTGTGATATAGATATTTTTACATTTAGTAGTAGTGAAATTGAAGGCTGTTCTCCATCTCCTTAATATTCTCAAATATCCATAGTTATAGGCTAGTACATAGATTAATATTTAAAAAAAAAAGCTGCCATGATTTTATATCTTTACTCAACTGTTTTCCCCAAAACATGAGTGTATTGTAATCTTTCTGTGTACTGTATTTTTTCTTTCCTTTTTTTGTGTAAAGTGAATTGAATTGATATATAAACAAGATGACAAATTGTTTTGCGTCCTAAAAGATCTATTGTGCCCCCCTTGTGCTATACCCGATGAGGCAATTCTCCGTAGCTATAGCAATTTCTCTATCCTATTTCCCTCTATTATGTGTGCTTCTTGGTTTCTCGCTATTGGGTTCTGTAGAGTGACACATTCCGAGAGTGAATCTTATTGTAATCCGAGCGAGAACACAATATGATTAGACTTCAATGCATGTCAGGTCAGAGCTGATGACTACACTGTCTCTGCCTCGGTTTGCCGCTTTAATCTCATAAAAGAAAGTGCCTAACGGGCCTATTCGTTACCCCCGATACTAGATAGATGAAGTAATAATAGCATCTTTAGTAAAATGTAATTCACATACTCTACTGTACTAAGATGGGGTAAAATCCTCGCGGTGAATTGCATATACCCATTTTTTTCGATAGTTCCTTGTCCAACGGCAAACTAAAAGCATGAACTTTTGGACCACCCTCATAATTCCCCGACAAAAGGGAACACAACACTTAAAAGGCATTGTTATTGCGCCTATCACAACACAAAATATTTCACAAAACAGTAATTTTTCCGCCAATTATTTTGATGACTATTCCACTCTTGATCTCGAGAACCAATCAGAATCGACCATTTTCACGGTTTCTTCTGTATTCCAGCGATATTTTTTGTTTATTAAATTTTATCGGACTTGCTCTACCAATACAGAAGCCGAATTGACCCACACGTGACCAACAAACCTCGTTTATCAGCGATAAAATTTTGACATCGTGTCTGGTCAAGATTGCTTTGTATTCAAATCTGACACAAGAGACAATAACCTAAGTACCTACTTCATTTTATTTACTTATAATTCGCGTTAGTGAGACATTTTGTACGAAAGGCGAGACAATTTCATTCTGGCTGGACTTTTCATGTGTAATTTAATAAGTTTGCATATTTGTTGACGGTCTGACAACAATACTAGAATTCAAATTCCCATTTGAAGTAATCTTTTTCAGTTACTCAAGTTATTGTGACTAATAAAATCCAGGTGATGTGGCTCAACTGATAGGGTTGTTGCGCGGTGATACGAAGGTCGGTGGTTCAAGCCCGTCGGCGACAATAATTTTTTTTTTTAATTATTTCATGTCACATAAATTAAATTTATTTTGTTCGAATTGGATAGCAAATGTATACACTCTTTTGAGAGCAACCATGCCCAAGATGATAAACAAAATACTGTTCATCAAAATTGTACATTCCACTTTGTGAATTACTAAAAGTAGGTAGTTAATTTCTTATATATATTTCTTATACAGGGTGTTTCATAGGTAAAGGGAAATATTTCAATGGTAGATAGGGGTCACCAAGGTGGTTCTGAAAATACCATATTTGATAGGTCTTAGAGTTTTCATAACGGAGATACAGGGCGATTTATCGATTTCGAATAATTATTCATTCGTCTATAAAGTATTGAACTATCCAGTATATTTTTCTAAAATTTGGTATGGAGCTTAAACTTGGGACGTTGAATTCATTCACCTATCGGGCGAAGAAAAAATCCAGGTTCGGCTCCAGGAAAAATTTACATTCATTCGAAATATTGAAATAACATACTGTATGTAATAATTGACAGAGTTCATCAGAAGAATCGTAAAGAGGAGGAAAAACTGAACTGGATTTTATACTTTTTGTTGTCCCGCCACCAATTCTCATCGTCACAATCATAAACAGAAAGCTGAAAGTATGTCGATTTGAAGAGTATTGAAATTATGAAACCAGTGTCAATTATGATTATTCGATATATTTTAGTCAAAAAATCGCTCGAAAGAACTTACTTAGTCTCACAGTTTTTATAACCGAGATACAGGGTGAATTATTGGTTTTGAATAATTATTCACTCGTCCATAAGTATAAAACTACCCAGTAACATTTTCTCAAGTATGGTATGTAGCTTACTTGGGACGATGGATTCATTAACCTATCAGGCGGAATTATAATTCGATAATTCACCCTGTATCTCTGTTATAAAGACTATGAGACTTTTCCTGAAGCTGAACCTGTATTTCCATTCTGCCTGATAGGTCAATGAATTCATCGTCCCAAGTAAGCTCAATACCAAATTTGAGAAAATATTACTGCGATGGGTAGTTTAATACTTATGGACGAGTGATAATCCATCCTGTATTTCTGTTATAAAGACTGTGAGACTAAGTAAGTTCTTTCGAACGATCATTTAACAAGAATATATCAAATAATCATACTTGAAAGTGGTTTCATAATTTTAATACTCTTGAAATTGACATACATTCAACTTCCTGTTTATGATTGTTACGATGAGAATTGGTGGCGGGAAAACAAGAAGAATCAAATCCAGTTCAGTTTTTCCTCCTCTTCACGATTCCTTTGATGAACTTTGTCAGTTATTACATACAGTGTGTTATTTTAATATTTCGAATAAATGTAAATTTTTCCTGAAGCCGAACCTGGATTTTCATTTCGCCCGATAGGTGAATGCATTCAACGTCCCAAGTTTAAGCTCCATACTGAATTTGAGAAAAATATACTGGGTAGTTCAATACTTATAGACGAATGAATAATTATTCGAAATCGATAAATCGCCCTGTATCTCCGTTATGAGAACTATTAGACCTATCAAATATGGTATTTTCAGAACCACCTTGGTGGCCCTTATCTACCATTGGAATATTTCCCTTTACCTGTGAAACACCCTGTATATACATATTGTCTCATTCAATCATGAAATAGTAATACGAATACAACTCGTGATACTATTTTTCCTGGAAATATTCGTCGATTGACATACTTCAGCTTGCTGCTCTAATTTCGCTCATGACATTGATCCAAAACTACTCGCCTAAGGCTCGTAGTTTTGATAACAATGTCATTCACGAAATTACTAGGCAACAAGCTGTCGTAACAATCACCGAATATTTCCGGCAAAATATTATCACTTGTGGTATTATATATGAATAAACAACAAAAGAATTCGAGCACGCGACCGCTTCCAAACATAAACAAACTGACGACAGTCGACACGCGAAAGATGGAAGGTGGCCTCACTTAGCTGACGTCACGAGCTGTTCACTACGAGCCTTCAGGCCTTGTAGTATCGGTGGTTACGGCCTATTATAGAAGTTATCACTTCAAAAATCACAATTTCTTGCTACTCTGATTCTAGGAATCAAAGCGGATTTCGATCAGGTGGACGGTATGGAGGACATAGACAATTCCCTCATGAAGTTGCGGTTCAGCGATGACATGAGAGTGAACGAAACGAGAAATATGTTGCAGAGTTCGAAGCCGGTGCCGATAGTGCTGACTCAGCGACCCGACGTTTCCGATCACGATTTCATCGAGGAGCAAGAGAAGCATTTGTACGGGATTTGTATCAGGACGATGGCCTTACCTGTCGGAAGGTGAGATAATTTTGATTTGGAAACAACTCTATAGTTCACTACACACTGCTTTACCACTAACCGAACCGATTTTTTACACGTCGGAACGTGTTTTGCTAACTATGTTAGCATCTTCAGGAGAAGATTAAAACAGTTTTAGTCTTCTCCTGAAGATGCTAACATAGTTAGCAAAACACGTGTCGAGGTGTAAAAAATCGGTGTATTATCCTGCCAATGGTTCCACTTTTCGATATAACTCTATAGTTGGTGGTATGATTCCAGCTTGAAGAGAGATATGTCAAATGTTTTCTGAGGAAGTCAAAAGTAAAAACAAATATAACTTTGTAATTTGAATAAGGTCAGAAAATTGAATATAGAATACCTTTGAGAATAGCTACAGGAGCATTTGAATTTTCCTTGAGGGTTCTGAAGTCAAATTGTTGAAAGGTCAAAATCTCTTCCAGGTTTTGGATAAAAATTGCGACTTGAGATGCTCTCCTGATTTCTTTCTTTTTTTTTGGGGGAGACGTGGACTAAAAGTGAGAAATAAGGAATATTTTGGACCTAATTTGATACAGCAGGAACGTACTTTTTCGAAAAATATTTTTTGGAAAGGTCGGATTTTCTAAATTTGAAGCAAGTTACTTGCTGTGAGGGTCAAGAATTAAAAATGAAAAACTTGAGGTATTGAGAAACCTGAAAGTCAAGAATTTTTAATATCTTGTGTACATTAGAAAATCGTAGTCTGGACCACACGGGCAGTGGAAGGGGGGTCAAAAATAAAAAAAACATATTCTCTCGATTTGTTCATCATTCAATAAAAAAATAGAGACCAAGGATGAACTCGATTATTTTATGGAAGATCTGAAATGAAAAATCCCAGTATTTCCTCGACGGGACGAAAAATAACCAAAAATGAGAGATTGGATGGTTCAAAATATCTCAAATTCAAGAATCCCGAATACCTTGGATGTGTGATAGCATATCAAAACCGCGACCTCAAGGGCATACATTTTTTTTCTGTGGAAGGGTCAACAATAAAAATCGGAATATTTAAATTTCTTCATGGGCTATCATTTTCTGGGTGGGTCTAAAATTAATTAAAAAAAGGGTGATAAAAAATTGGAATCGCGAACTCAAGGGCGTCTATTTTTTTATGCGGATTTCAAAAAATAATATAAAAAAAGGATTCTTCGAAACTCTTCATCAATCGATGGGTACGAACAATTAATTTTTGACAATGCCTGAAATCGAAAAATCGGAATTTGAAATTTTTCGATGTTTGTCAATAGAGAACCGAAAATAAATAGATACTTCAGTTGTGGCATTCAATTTCCAACAGGATGAAAATGAAAAAAGAGAGATTGGAAAGTAAAAAAACCTTGAAGTCGAGAGTTTTTTCGATATCTTGGATGTGTGATGTGTGAGTCAATAATTCTGAATATCTTTGATTGATTGATTGACTTAATTTCGCCAAAAAACATTATTGTATATAATGATGATATATACAACAAAACATATAGCATAATAAATCAGAACAATAATGATTGCACAATTATTCTCCATAAAAAAATAAATAAATATAAAATGAAAATATTATAATCCATTTCAATCAATCAAATCGGTAATGATTAGAATTAAAGTTCACTGAGTAGATATTTCTTTGAATTGATATTGAATCTTTCTGCTTCTTCCATATTTTTCAGCTCATTAGGTAAGGGGTTCTACAGGGTGTATCTAAATAACACCGAAGACGTGTTTCCTTGTGACATTCTGGCAAATAAAGTTTATATAACTTGCTCCGTTTTTGATATACAGGATGTTGAAGTTGAAAGTATTCATTGTTTTCATTTATAACCCTCCTGTATAAGCTTTCACGGTGCCAAAATTCAGTATGGATGAAGACTAGATAGATAGATAGATAGATAGATAGATAGATAGATAGATAGATAGCTTTATTCAAAGAAGTGTACTCATACATTTACAATACATAAATACAATTAAATGAACTGGCGTCAAATGATATGATGTTTGTTAACAAACGAACATCTGAGAAAGAAGAAGGTACTGAAATCACTATTAAAAAACGAACATGTTAAAAAATACAAACTTAATGAGTAAAATAAAGACATTTGATTGATATACAAAACACTAAAATACACTAGAAAAAAAAAACTGATAGATTGAAATTACATTGTTAGCAAATAAAATAGATATACATAATTATAATAACAATAGCTAAAAATAAATGAATGAAACAAGTGACTGACTGACACTGAATTAAAATATACTTGAACCAAGAAATTCATCTATGGTATATGGTTCTATTTCAATCAATAATTCCCGAACTGACTGTTTGAATTTTTTAAGGCTGGGTTCTATTTTCAGTTTTGAAGGTATTCTATTGTAAAACTTTATACACGAGTACATTGGAGTTTTTTTTTGTTAGGGTTAGTCTGTGAGGTGGGATATTAAAATCCATCGTTCTTGTACCATAAATATGATTTGATTCATAGGCTTGGAATTTCCCCCTATTTTTGAATAGAAATACACTCATATATATAAGAAAACCCTAAAAAATTTCAGAATGATTCTAATTGGGGTTATTGAGAAATCTCAATGGAAGTCTTGAAAACACCTACATTCAAACTTTGAGTAAATTAAAATTTTTATTGTTTCCTCAAAAACTAAGCTAGATACAAGAATAAAACAGAAGATAAAAAAGTTGTTATTTCAGTAGTTCAATCTAATAAAAATATGAAACTCAGAAAAACCGGTGGTGTACAACGCCACTGGAAATATTATTCGGAATCTAATTGCACCAGAAGAAGCTCCATAACAAAACCACAACGTTTTCTTGAAATTGATAAAAAGACAATTGAGAAATGAATAGAAAAAATATTTTTCATGGAAATATTAATACCCTGTGTCTCGAAAACGAAGCAAGTTAGGAGACATGTTTATATAAACGTTATTTCCTAAAACATCACAAGGAATCACCTCTTGAATTTTTTCGGTGTTATTCAGATACATCCTGTATGAAATTGTTTACTTATAATTATTTGCTATAAATAAATCAAATTGCCTTGTTTCATGGGCGTGATTCGTATTAACCCCATTGAAATTCAAATTTGATATGGCATAGGTACACTGATTGAGAATCAAAATTGCGATTCCAAAGGCGTACATTTTTTTCTCTTGGGTCCGAAAATAAAAAAAGTCAAAATTCCGATTTTTTTCCATTGTGCAGGGGAATGTTCACCCTTCGTACCGCCACCCCCGTGATAACCGAGCCTCTTCCCGCACCCCCAGTCTGCCTCACGGGCAAAGCCCCTCCCAGGGGCACCACCGTGGACTTGAACCACATCGACACGCCTGCCAACATGAACTTGTGGCCGCTTTTCCACAACGGTGTTGCCAACGGTTTAAGGATCACCCCGGATGCCCACAACATCGATAACACTTGGATTATTTTCAACAAGTCGAAGGGTGAGTTTATCGAAATCATCGAGTTCTTTCGGTTTCTACCTGGCTAGTGTTTTTGTTTTGTTTTGCCATGAAATAAGGGTCTGGATTGGCGCAGTGGAAGAGCGCCCGTATCACGAAGAAATTAACCACGAGATGGAAATAATAGTCAATAACTTGACGAAGGCCAGAGATTCCACCACGAGATAGGTCAGCATTAACTCCAACAAGGACTAACTCCCGGAGGAAATTCTTGAGCTCATAGCAGAAAAGAAGACCTTGAGGCGTCGCTGATAATGGCTTAATATGTAATCAGATAGAATGCGAAATTCGTGAGCTCAGGAACTCCTCCTGGAGAGCCAAGTTGGAGAGTCTGGACCCTCGCGACAATACTCTATGGAAAATGTCGAGAAGGTTGAAAAACCGATATACACCCATACCCACCCTGGAGTATGGTCGCGAGGAAGCGGTGTCAGATCTGGAGAAGGCGGTAGTGCTTGGGAAACACTTCCAAAAAATATCCAAAATCGATAAAGAACCAACAGGCGCGGTCCAAGAGGACATGGTGGCTACTGCTCTCGCGACAAGCCCTGGGCAAAACCATAACATCACCAAAAGAAATTATTGAAATCATTGAATACTTAAATATCAACAAAGCCCCAGGGCTTGATGGTTTGGACATGGTTCTCCTAAAAAACATGTTGCGTGAAGCAATAGTGCAGTTGCATTATGTTATCAATGCAATAATGAAATGCCAGCACTACCCAGACTGCCTCAAAACTGGGCTTGTTATACGACGCTATACCTATATAGTGGAGTATACTACGGCCTTGCCAAAAATGCTATCTCGGAAACTAAGCGACATAGAGGTATAGTTACTTTGGAGAAAATGATCCCCATCGAATTTTGAGCAACTTTGATTTTTGTGTGTGGTCTGTCTGTCTGTCTGTCTGTCTGTCTGTCTGTCTGTCTGTCTGTCTGTCTGTCTGTCTGTCTGTCTGTCTGTCTGTCTGTCTGTCTGTCTGTCTGTCTGTCTGTCTGTCTGTCTGTCTGTCTGTCTGTCTGTCTGTCTGTCTGTCTGTCTGTCTGTCTGTCTGTCTGTCTGTCTGTCTGTCTGTCTGTCTGTCTGTCTGTCTGTCTGTCTGTCTGTCTGTCTGTCTGTCTGTCTGTCTGTCTGTCTGTCTGTCTGTCTGTCTGTCTGTCTGTCTGTCTGTCTGTCTGTCTGTCTGTCTGTCTGTCTGTCTGTCTGTCTGTCTGTCTGTCTGTCTGTCTGTCTGTCTGTCTGTCTGTCTGTCTGTCTGTCTGTCTGTCTGTCTGTCTGTCTGTCTGTCTGTCTGTCTGTCTGTCTGTCTGTCTGTCTGTCTGTCTGTCTGTCTGTCTGTCTGTCTGTCTGTCTGTCTGTCTGTCTGTCTGTCTGTCTGTCTGTCTGTCTGTCTGTCTGTCTGTCTGTCTGTCTGTCTGTCTGTCTGTCTGTCTGTCTGTCTGTCTGTCTGTCTGTCTGTCTGTCTGTCTGTCTGTCTGTCTGTCTGTCTGTCTGTCTGTCTGTCTGTCTGTCTGTCTGTCTGTCTGTCTGTCTGTCTGTCTGTCTGTCTGTCTGTCTGTCTGTCTGTCTGTCTGTCTGTCTGTCTGTCTGTCTGTCTGTCTGTCTGTCTGTCTGTCTGTCTGTCTGTCTGTCTGTCTGTCTGTCTGTCTGTCTGTCTGTCTGTCTGTCTGTCTGTCTGTCTGTCTGTCTGTCTGTCTGTCTGTCTGTCTGTCTGTCTGTCTGTCTGTCTGTCTGTCTGTCTGTCTGTCTGTCTGTCTGTACTCTGTGGTAATCATAAATCGATATATCTCCGGAACCCTTTGACATATCGACTTGAAATTTCGCCATCTTATTGTAGTAAAAACAATATCATGTCATAAAATTATGAAGGAAATCGGAAAACTCTAAGGTGGTTTTTCCGGGTTTTTTCGATTTTTCACCGGAAGTTTCTTGCAACCACTCTACGAATCGCAAAACAGGTCCGATCGATTTCATTTTTTGTGAAAAAAAAACTCTATCAGGGACAAGTCGAAGGGTGAGTTTATCGAAATGAGCCTTTCCAGTATCGTAAGATTCAACCCTTTTAGGTTATAATGTTATGAAATGAAGTTAAAAATGTTATCCTGACCACATATTTATCGAAAAAATCGAACGACATCAATTTTTATTAGCACAGTGCTCTTCATTACAGTTAATTCCACAATAAAATACAAAGTCGATAAATAAAGACATGGAATTATAGAACACAGACACATGAATTACGTCACATATATTTTAAGATAAGAGTAATTTATAGATTTCTCGTTTCTCACTTGATCAATCAATAATTTTCTTTCACAAATAACACGATTCTTCAAAACTAGTGACACACAGCTTTTCATTTCACAGGGCAAATTATTGAACAATACCAGACCTTCTGTATACAGGGTGTCCGCTAAAAGGAGGTCAATCCATTAACCATATATTCCTTGAACAAAAATAATATGAGTTTCTAAATACCATTTTTCAGTTTAGCCCTTCTTATTCGATATACAGGGTGTCAAAGTTGGAAATTAAAAACTGTTTTTTTTTCTAATTACTCGCGTATTTGATAAGCTATTCATCTCAAAATTGGTACATTACTTCAGCACAAAGAGTTACATCGTGTGAGGAAAACAAAACAGAAAATAACTGTCAAATATTCAAAATACTGGGGGTCAAGTACACACTTACCCCCATATTTTTTTGTACGTGTGCTAATGACTTCCTAATTATTTTTCTTCAAGTGTTCAATCATTTTCGAGTATTACTGTTAAAATTCAGTTGGTTATCAATGATCACTCCCAAGTACTTGAACATTTTCACTTCTTCAATGATTTCTCCGTTTATTTGAATATTGAATTTTATTTTGTTTACATTGGGACGAATATGGTTCTTTTAGTTATGCAGGGTAGAAAAGTCGGCAACCTTTCATTTTTCAATAAATAAAAACAACACTCTTCCAAAACTCGTTCGTCTATAAAACGGCGAAGCTTTGGAATTATTTGCCAATGGAATTATTCCAAGGAACTTTTAACCTCAAAAATAGTTCCAACACCTACCTCCTCTTCCTATCCGCCCTAGGTATTCGCACGATGGTCCACGAACATAATAGGAATTTCCTTTCGTGCGCTCCAAGAAATAAAAAAAGGCTGTTTTTTTGGTCTAATTTGCCATTTTCAGGTGGAAATGATCCGCTAATGGAACATGCCGGGTTCTTATTGGCCCTGGGATTGAATGGTCACTTGAGAAATTTATCGTTGAAGAGTACTTTCAACTATTTAGAAAAGTTACACGAGATGACGAGCGTCGGCATATTATTGGGTGAGTTCTTATTCAAACAATGGATCCTTATACCATTTCCTGGAAAGTGTAGTATCATGAATTTGTCCATATGTTGCAGGATGTTCGAGAAAATTGTAAAATGTTTGTGTTTCAAATTGTTTGAGAATGTTGGAAAATATTGTGAAATATGAAAAAATATTTCAGTAGAATCTTTCAAAAAGTTCCAAACTGTTTTTGAATGTTCCAGGATATCCAGAAATGTTATAGTGTTCCAGAATGTTCGAGAATGTTGATAAAGTTTTTCAGGATATTAAAAAATGTAGAATATTCAAGAGTATCTATCTATCTATCTATCTATAATATGATTTTTCAGAAAGTCCAATAATCTTCCAGAATGTTTCAATGCCTACCAAAAGTTCCTAAAATGTTCTAGAATATTTCAGAATGCTCTAGAATATTCCAAATAGTTTCAAAATGTTCTTGAATTTTCCAAGAAATTTGTGAATATTCTAGACTCTTCCAGAATGTTATGAAACCGTCTAGAAGGCTAAAAAGTATTCTAGAATGTAATGTAATGATCCTCCCTGAAGGTTATAAAATGTTCCCAGAATGTTCCTAAATGTTATAAAATTTTCCAGACGGATATGAAATGTTCCTAAATTGTTCCAAATCTTTCTAAAACCTTTCAGAAGGTTATAAAATGCTCTAGAATGTTTCCGAATGTTATGTAACCTACCAGGAGGTTATAAAATGTTCTAGAATGTTTCAGGAATTATATGGAAGCTTCCGGAAGGTTATAAAAAATTCACAGTATGTTCCAAAATGATATGAAAACCTCCAGATGGCTATAAAATGTTTCAGAATGTTCTGAAACCTTCCAGAAGATTATAAAATGCTCTAGAATATTTAAAAATGTTATGAAACCTTCCAGACGGTTATAAAATGTTCCTAAATTGTTCCAAAACTTTCTAAAACCTTTCAGAAGGTTATAAAATGCTCTAGAATATTTCCGAATGTTATGTAACCTACCAGAAGGTTATAAAATGTTCTAGAATCTCCCAGGAATTATATGAAATCTTCCGGAAGGTTATAAAAGATTCACAGTATGTTCCAAAATGATATGAAACCCTCCAGATGGCTATAAAATGTTTCAGAATGTTCTGAAACCTTCCAGAAGATTATAAAATGCTCTAGAATATTTAAAATGTTATGAAACCTTCCAGACGGTTATAAAATGTTCCTAAATTGTTCCAAAACTTTCTAAAACCTTTCAGAAGGTTATAAAATGCTCTAGAATATTTCCGAATGTTATGTAACCTACCAGAAGGTTATAAAATGTTCTAGAATGTCCCAGGAATTATATGCAATCTTCCGGAAGGTTATAAAAGATTCACAGTATGTTCCAAAATGATATGAAACCCTCCAGATAATTATAAACTGCCCAGAATGTTATGAAACCTTCTAGAAGATTATAAAATGCTCTAGAACATTTCAAAATGTCATGAAACCTTCCAGACTTCTATAAATGTTCCTAAATTGCCCCAAAACTTTCTAAAACCCTTCAGAAGGTTATAAAATGCTCTGGAATGTTTTCGAATGTTATGTAACCTATCATAAGGTTATGAAATATTCTAGAATGTTCCAGAAAAAATATGAAATCTTATAGAAGGTTATAAAATCCAGATGGTTATAAAATGCCCAGAGTGTTATGAAACCTCCCTGAACGTTATAAAATGTTCCCAGAATGTTCCAAATCCTAATAAAATGCTCTAGAATGTTTCCGAATGTTATGTTACCTACCAGAAGGTAATGAAATGTTCTAGAATGTTCCAGGACTAATATGAAATCTTCCAGAAGGTTATAAAATATTCCCAGTATGTTCCAAAATAATATGAAACCCTCCAGATAGTTATAAAATGCCCAGAATGTTATGACACCTCTTTGAATGTTATACAATGTTCCTAGAATGTTCATAAATGTTATAAAATGTTCCAGGAGGTCATGAAATGTCCTCGAATGTTCTCGAATGTTCCATGTTGTAGGTCTCTCTGCTGCCTTCCGCGGCACCTGCGAACCCCACCTCACCAAAACCCTCGCCGTCCATGTGGAGGCCCTTTTGCCGCCCACCTCGATGGAACTGGACGTGCCGCACGCCCTTCAGGTGGCCGGTTTGCTGGGCGTAGGGCTGGTGTACGAGGGGGCGGCACATAGGCGCACGGCCGAAGTGCTGTTGGCGGAGATCGGCCGCCCCCCCGGGCCAGAAATGGAGAACAGCGTCGACAGGGAGAGTTATTCGCTGGCGGCGGGGTTGGCCTTGGGGTGAGTTAGGTTTTTCTTTTTTTGCGAAAATGAGTGAAAAACATGGAACGTTACTTATTTGTGATGGATGTTTCGGTTTTCTTGTCATATTATTCGCGGGAAAATGGTGCGAAAACCTTATATAGGGTCACAAAGAGAGAAACTCAAAGTCATTACCACAATCTATACTAATATTATAAAGAGGAAAGATTTGATTGTTTGTTTGTTTGTGTGTATTGAATAGGCTTCGAAACTACTGGATCGATTTGGCTGAAAATTGGTGGGGAGGTAGTTTAGAACCCGGTTAGGTTAGGAAATTCAGGATGGTGGATCTGATACAGTGTGTCCCACTTACCATGCTCACCATGGGTATCTTTTTAACGGTGAGAGATACGAGGTCGGTTAAATGACACCAAATGTGGAGTTTGTCAGGGCCAACTATAATGTGAAAAAATATTTGGATGAAATCTATTCGTTTTTGTTTTATACGCAAAAAACTGATTTTGATCATTTTCATGTCTCCTCCGTGACTTCTTCATTCATGAAAATATTCAAATGGGAATTTCACATTCTGATGGCAGTTTTTCAAAGTGATTTCGAAAAAAATACGAAATTTATACCAACTCATTTAGAATTCGAGATATCAGCACCAACTTTAGTTTTTCAAATGTAGGTCATAATAATAATAATAATAATATATGTTTATTCAAAGGAGGAAAATATGGAATATACACTTTCTTCTACAATGACAATAATTATAAACCTACCTACTAGTATAAACATATTGTTTCCCATATATAACCATAAGGTTGAAGTGGGATATAGTGGTGAATAGTATGTATATGTATGTAAGTATATATATATATATATATCTATAATTATAAACTTATAAAGTATTAACTAACGCAATTGTGTATGGCATTCGATGATGATAGCAGGTGAAAAATGGATAATTCTATTAGGATTCATGATGACTCGAACAGGTGGTTAATGACACCTAAGTCTACATTCAGCAAGTAACATTTGAATCGCTTTTTCAATAAAGGCAAGGAATTTAGATCGTGTATGTATGTTTTGTATATGTCTGGCAAAAAGTTGAATACTCTTCCTGCGAAATTAGTAAAACATCTCTGACCCACACTTATTTTGCTCTATTGATCCTAACATGAGCTTTTACTCTCATTCTTGTTTGGTAGTTATGCTCGATTTTTATCATGCTATTTTTATTGGTGTTCAGGTATATAACTATACTATGGATATACAGTTTTCTAATATTCAGTACATTTGCTTCCTGGAATAGCATGAGTGTGGGGTAATTATAATTCTTATTCAGCATAGCTTTTAGGATTTTTTTGTGAAGTGATTCTAGCTTTTTCAGATGGACAGGTAAGACTCCCCCCCAGCTGAGTATGGCATACTTCAATCGTGATCCGACAAGAGCAAAGTAAACAGTTCGCAAGTGGGTAGAGTCCAAGAAGTTTCTAATGTTTTTGAATTTATATAGCATATATCTCAAGGTTTTAGTGATATTAGTCACATGTTCATCCCATCGTAAGTGATTGTCGATCGTTATGCCTAGGTACCTGATGTGTTCTGCAGATTCTACATCGACCATTACCCCCTGATTGTCAACTGTCAATGTTTGGTATAATGGTAATGATGATGCGTAACTAGTTCACTATGACTTAGTTACAAATAACTTTTTTTTCTCTTCCAGATGATATGTCGCAGTAATAGTTTTGTGTTGATAACAACGGAGTTATCGTCATTTATACAAGAACAAAAAATTATTTGGAAGCCGCCATCTTGAATTAGGAATTTTAACAAAAAAATCATGATCTCCGACCTCAAAAACCCCCACTTACCAATTTTGAATGGAATCGGACCAAATCTTGTCCGCCATCTTGGAGCAGCCATTTTTTTAAATTCCAACAAAAATTCCATAATGTATTGTCACCGAAATTATGAGCACCTGTCAAATTTCAAGTTAATCGGAGTCATGGAATTTTTGTTGAATTCGAAAAAAATTGCTGCTCCAAGATTTGGTCCGATTCCATTCAAAATTGGTAAGTGGGGGTTTTTGAGGTCGGAGATCATGATTTTTTTTTAAATTTATAAATTCAAGATGGCGGCTTCCAAATAATTGTTTGTTTTTGTATAAATGATGATAACTCCGTTGTTATCAACACAAAACTATTACTGCGACATACCATGTGTAAGCAAAAAAAAGTTATTTGTAACTAAGTCATAGTGAGCTATGACCTACATTTGAAAAACTAAAGTTGGTGCTGATATCTCAAATTCTAGAAGAGTTGGTATCAATTTCATATTTTTTTCGAAATCACTTTGAAAAACTGCTATAAGAATGTGGAATTCCTATTTGAATATTTTCCTAAATAAAGAAGTTACGGAGGAGACATGAAAATGATCAAAATCTGTTTTTTGCGTATAAAACAAAAACGAATAGATTTTATCAACATTTTTTTTCTTATTATAGTTGGCCTTGACAAACTCCACATTTGGTGTCATTTAACCGACCTCGTATATCTCACCGTTCAAAAGATACCCATGGTGAGCATGGTAAGTGGGACACACTGTATATCAGACGAGTTTTGTAATTATGGTCCGATTCTATTCAAAATGGGTTTCAGGAGGATCTCGGGTTCGGGGATTATGATTCTTTCGTCAGAATTTGAAAATTGGGGCGGAATTTGGAAATTCAAGATGGCGGAACCAATCTGGCGGACGAGTTTTGTGATTATACTCCGATTTCTTTCAAAATTGGTACCTAGGGGTTTTCGTTATCGGGGATTATGATTCCTTCGTCAAAATTAAGAAACTCAAGATGTCGGATTCAAAATGGCGGATTTTGTAATTAGGATCTGATTTTATTCAAATTTTGTATCTGATGGTTCTCGGGGTCGGAGATTATGATTCTTTTGTCAAAATTAGGAAATTCAAGATGGCGGACTCAATATGGCGGACGAGTATTGTAATTATGATCCGACTCTTTTCAAAATTGTTTTCTGGGTGTTTTCGGGGTCGGAGATTATGATTCTTTTGTCAAAATTGGGAAAGGGTGGGATTTGGAAATTCAAAACGGTGGAACCAATATACCGGACGAGTTTTGTATTTATATGCCGATTCTATTCAAAATTTGTTTTTGGGATTAAAAATTATGATTCCTCTGTCAAAATGAGGGAATTCAAGATGGTAGATATAATATTTTGGACGAGTTTTGTAATACATTTATGGCAAGTCACAATTAGGAACATGTTTTCGAAGAACAATATTAAAGAAGTAAAATATACTTAGTAAATATTTCAAATAAAAAAAAATTAATATTATAAAAGTTGAAAGGTAAAATTTGTCAGCATACATAAATTCTAGAGTACAGAACAGACAGATTAAAATTCATATCAGATTCTTGAAAAGTATGGTAAAAAACAATAATAATAATAATAAGCATGACAAAAAAATGATTAGGGCTTTAGTGAATTAACCGATATCATGTAACTGTCAATATCATAAAAACAGTCATTCAGAAGAAACTTTTTTATCACAGATTTGAATTATTGTTTCAACTCCAATACCCTGACAGATGAGTGAAGAGTATTGTATAAATCAATATTCAGAGTTTTTGCAGCTGAGAGTTAATCTGTGACGTGTAATTGTCAGTAAATCAGCTGATCTAGTATTGTATCTGTGGAAATTTGAATGTTTACTAAAGTTGCTAACATTTCGTTGAATCTCCAACAAAAGTTGTTGCTACTTTTTGATAGAAGCGGCAACACTGCATTGCTGAAAATATTTTAAATGAAGAGAGCGTATTCTGAAATGTAAGCATGCATATTTTTATGGATTTATCATGAGTGATTCTTTAATAATGCTTACTAAGCTCATAATTATGGTGTCATAGTAGCTGCCATTTGGAAAAGTTGAATTTTCGGTGAATTTTCGATGGGACATTTGTTGGAAGCTAACACACCGCATGTTTTTTTTTTCGTTATCTAATTCACATTTTCTTGCTCGAATTTATTTGCTGCTATTTCCGTATTAATTTTTCTTAGGTTGGTCACATTGAAACATGGCGGACATCCAGCAGGGCTGTCAGATTTGAATGTACCTGATACTTTGCATTACTACATGGTTGGGGGAAATAAGAGACCACTTACAGGTAACTTATAATGATGATAATATTAGTTTTTTTTGAATATGAATCGAAAATATTAATTAAAAATTAAATGGGATTGGTCGGTTTCGAACCCCAAAGAGGAATAAATAAAAAATAAAAATAAATAAATGAATGAAAAAAATTTAAAATTGACTGATCAATGTGAAAGATTTTGTATTAAAAATATTGTTATTGAAATAAACAGTTTTTACATCATGAAATTAGTTAACTCGAGCAAAAACAGATGAATCGATTTTATAATTTGCAATAATTTCTATGTTAATCTTCCAAAAAAAAAAAAAAAAAACGAAAACAGTATTTACGAGGTCAATATCATCATATATCAGTTACACCATTTATTTTCTTGGTTAAAGTTACGGAAGCTCTAATGGACGGGTTTTTGACATTATCTCAAAACTTTATAATACTAATTTATCTGGTTTTGGATGATCGCTCCTCGATTGTTCAATGTGAAAAATTCACAATCCTGAATCCCTTCATTTGCCAATTTCCTGCAGGTTCTCAGAAAGACAAGTACAAAACGCCGTCGTTCCAAATCCGCGAAGGCTCCTCGGTGAACCTGGACGTGACCGCCCCTGGGGCCACCCTGGCCTTGGGCCTCATGTACCTGGGCACGGCCAACAAGGCCGTGGCCGACTGGATGGCCCCTCCGGCCACCCAGTACCTCTTGGACTTCGTCAGGCCGGACTTCCTCTTGTTGAGGGTCCTCTCGAGATGTGAGTGATCGTGATTTTGTGTATAGGATGGAATGCTCGAAGTCATCTCCACAAATTTCAATGATATTGTTACTAAACCATGAGGGACATGTTTCGGTCTTATACAAGACCATCTTCAGCCTAATTGAAAGGTTCGGAGTTGAAAAAATTGTTGATGCTACTATTCCTTGCATTGTCAATGCCCATAGCCAAGAATTCCAAAGGTTGAAAAAAAACGGGTTCTCAATAAATGAAGGGCCCCGTGCTTGGAGAGCGCATACTATTGGTTTCTAATGAACATTTCATATACCAGAATGGTATATAAAGGGTATTGACAGCACCATAAATTAACGGGTTTTTTAAAAAGGGGGCAAACATCCAGCACGTGTTTAAATCTAAACTGACCTAAGACAGTACCTCTTGGACTTCGTCAGGCCGGACTTCCTCTTGTTGAGGGTCCTCTCGAGATGTGAGTGATCGTGATTTTGTGTATAGTCAAATGTAAAACCTAACCTGACCTAAGACAGGCTAGTCAAATGATGTTTTCACTTGAGAGCCTGTATATTCTACGTAACAATCACTCTCCAATCAATTATCTAAAGTAAGTAGTGGAGCAAAGAGGATACCAAATCACTTTTGCAACCAGATTTAGTAACTTTCCACAAATTTAGTGACTTCTGCCAAATTTTGAATTGACTCGGCCGTTACTTGAAGCTGATTAATAGGATTGGAAAATTTAAAAGAGAATTCAAGAAACAACTACTCCTGTAATATTGCCATCTTATCTCATTTTTATAGTTTTCTTGTACAACTACTATAGTTTTCAATTGGGTACCTAACAGCTGAGTCAATTGAATTTCATTTTCATTTGAACTTGAAAAAAAAAAGATTCTTTTTGAGTGTGAGTCTTATTTTACTGTCTTCTTTATTTTATTTTGTCAAATATATTTTTATGTATTCACTATATTCCCTGCTATAAACAAATGTTGTTTCTTGGGAATAATAAAGTTGATTGATTGATTGAAATGTAAAAACTCCACAAACGATAAGATTTCCACAAAATTCTCAAACACACATCTTTCGCTAACATAGTAGCTTCGTCAGGTGATATACTGGTACAATGCACTAAACTAACCTTGGCTTGCTCAACTTTTATAAATCCGACTTTCCCAACCTGAAGGATTGGTTGCCTGTGGACAGGTACGATAAACCTTCATTTTCGGAAATTAGCCACAATATCTACATTAAAATACGGTGTACCGGATTAACTGGAAAGAGTTGATAGCAAATACATATTATCACCTACTAAGAAAACAAATTCAACAGTGGTGAACTATTGAGGTATATTTGATCGTTAAGTAAAATGTCTGAATTTTTGAGTTTGTTGATTTCTAATGATTCAAAATGATTGAGTTTCATTCCTTTATTTTCTACGTGTACAATTTCGAAATTATCATCAAAACTATGGTTTTCTTCTAATATATGGTTGGCGTATGTTGAATTTGTTTTCTTTCTCGAGAAATTCACCTTATGTTCATGAATGCGCTGATTAAACGTAAAGTTTTTCAGAAAGAATACTGTCTATCAAATTAACGTTGTATCCGTTGTTGACTGCAATCTGTTTTATGTTTTGATGATAATTTCGTTCTGGAGACGTCTTGGAGTATTATTACTATATGAACTATACAACATATTGAGGTATGTCGATTCGCTCATTTCGGATCTAGATCTCTAGTCTAGTTCTGGCAAACATGTGTCCTACCTTGCTCCGATTGAAAGATTTAATTCAATATTCTGTGATATTAGCCAGGAAATTACCTAGTTGTTTTTCTCTTAGGTATTTCAACTATGATTTTCTTATTTCTCAGGACTATAATGCGTTTTGCCCATAAATATTGAATTTTCATTGATCTCTTCAAGATCTGTTCTCTATAAAAAAAAACCGAAAAGGCACTATTGTTTTCAATTTCAATACACTTCATTTCAAGAACGAAGCAAGTAAGGATGTATTTTTCACGTTTTATGTTTTATTGTGTTTTGAAAATCTAATGAAATTTCAGCACTGATATTATGGAACGAAATCGACCCGTCAAAAGAATGGGTGGAGAGTCAGGTCCCCTCTACCATAAGGCCGTATTGCATGGTGACACCTTGTAATTCTTTGGATGTAGACTACGAAGCCATGAAGTAAGATACAATTTTCAGTACTAGAGGTTGATTATCTCTCTGTCATCAAATTCGATTAGCTAACTCATCTAAACGACTTTGCTGTATCAGATACCCTCTAATTCAATGTGAATCATTCCTACCGACTGCGCCATATTTGTGATATTTTGCCGGGTACACTATTTTTTTTCCAAATTCTTGTTTTGAAGCAAATGTTTGCTCTTGTATCATTCACAAGGGTGAATAGTTGAATGTCAAAACTTTTCCCCTGCTAAACTTTGTAGAGGAAAAAACTATGAACAATTGTTTAAATCAATATCAGTATAGCCTACAGACAGTATTCAATATCAGTAGCTTGACTGGGATTTTTCGAAAATTTGTTCAAGGTTATACAATGATTACTTAGCCACTGGGTAATCTTATGAATGATTGTCATTTTTTTTTCAGCCAAGCCTATTGTAATATAGTTGCAGGAGCGTGTTTCGCTCTAGGCTTGAAGTTCGCAGGAACTGCAGAAGAAGAAGCTTATGACACTCTCATGCATTTCTGTCACATGTTCACCTCTCTCACGGCCAAATCTATCGCTGAATTGGCGGGAAAATCGACAATCGAGACGTGTTTGAATGTACTGCTTTTGTCTGTCTCAATGGTAAGATCCTTCAATCGTCTAAGTAATGATCTTTGGATTTCTGAGTCTATCAAGCATCGAATTGTCATTGTATGCGGGCCACAGACAACTCCATGTATTTCAATAAAATGCAATTGAATAACAGAATGTGAAAATTTTAAGGCGAATAAGATAGGCTACAGAAATATACAGGGTGCCATTTGAAAAAATAAGTTGGGTCTACTTCCGATCAAACATGGAGTTGAAGAAAATTGTCATTGGGTTCAAGGGATGCGCCATCATTGATCATATAACACTTGTGAATGTCAAATTTTTATCTCGCCAAATAAAAAAACTACAGGCTGTTACGTGTCTCCTGTGTCACGCGGTATAATAGTATATATTATTTTGAGAATAACAGATTATTCATCGGTTTCTATCCATTTTATTGATTGAGTTTTTGTTCATCACCTTGTAAGATATATAGGAGATTATTGTGAATAAAAAAGTTCTCCGAAATATGATAGATGGTAAATGTCAGTAATGAAAAACATGAATTTATTGAAAAATGAATTTCTTCAGGGGCGCATTTTGAAAGTTCGCCACTGTCGCTAGAATCCTAGAAAATTGCAGGGTGGGAACTGCCTTTATCCGGTTCGAAGGACCATGATCGAGACGACTTTTTCAGGTTATGGCGGGCACCGGCCACCTGGAAATAATGAGGCTGGTTCGTTTTTGCGTCGAAGGGTGGGGGTGTCCAACAGCCCCGTGGTGACCTACGGCTCCCCCTTGGCCATCTACATGGACTTGGGGCTGCTGTTTCTTCTAAATTTAGTTTTCGAAATATCAACGTCTCAAAAGTGACATATTTGTCATCTCAAACCCAACTAAAATCTCGAATGTTGCTCTCAATCATGTTTGTTTTGGAAAAATCGTTGTCGCGGTTACATATTATTTTTTTTCCACGGCAAACGTGATTGAAAGCAACATTCGACTGTAAGCTGTCGTTTTCTTATGAAAAACTAGGTGTTCATCTCCTTCAAATTTCATTGCGATATACCTTCTAGCTCAAAAATTAGCAGGGTGGGAACGGCATTTATCCGGTTCGAAGGACCATGATCATGACGACTTTTTCAGGTTATGGCGGGCACCGGCAACCTGGAAATAATGAGGCTGGTGCGTCATTTGCGTCGAAGGGTGGGGGTGTCCAATAGCCCCGTGGTGACCTACGGCTCCCACTTGGCCATCCACATGGCCTTGGGGCTGCTGTTTTTGGGCGGGGGGCGGTACACGCTGTCCAACTCGCCTTCGAGCGTGGCGGCGCTCATTTGCGCCTTCTACCCCAAATTTCCCACCCACAGCAACGATAACAGGTGAGGTTTTTAGTGGGAATGTCAGGTTATTGTGTGTTGAAGAATGAATAATGGATATACAGGGTGATACAGGGTATATGGTCTATTAGAAGTATCTGGAAAAAACAGAACATTCTGAAAATTGGGATGCTCTGATAATTGAACATTCTCTGTCCGTCGAAAATATATTTATCGATACAGTGTTGCCACTTTTATCAGAAACAACTAGCAACTTTGTTATTTCAAACGGAACACCCTGTATTTTATTGCATTTTTTTCATCAATGTATCACACTTGGGCTCTTGCAGGAATGATTACAGAGATATAGGGTGTTCAAAATCGAGATTTTTCAATTTTAGTATTTTTCTGTGTCGAAACTATTCATTATCGATCAAAACAGCTCACATATCCCAATCTCAACTTCTGATTCACTATCTACTGGAATTTAATTGTAAAAAATACAGGGTGCTTCAAGATTCAGAATTCTGATCACCCTGTATCTGTTATGAGTAGTTTCATTTCCAATGAACTGTGACAACTCTGAGTGAAACAAAAAGTTTCACACTTACACTTATTCATTTAGAGATTGAATGCAAATGACAATTTGTTTGAACTCATTAATAAAAAACCTTGATTATTTACAACAAGATGCTCCACCTCCATGTAAAATGTTGAAGCCAAAGTTTGCCTTAGTTATTGACTTGTTCGTAGGCGGCGCTAGGGAAACTCAGCAAAACATGGCCGATTTTCTATACTCTCGGAATCTGCTCGAGTCCATCTATCTGCAACTTACTGAACTATCGAGGAATATCCTTTCTAGTTTTTCGGCTTCATCAAATCGTCAATGCAGGATTTGATTCACTTCACTTTGCTCCACTGTACTTTATCTAACGAAGTTAACGTCCGAACATATAAACCAATATGGTTGCTCCATAATTATATCACTGGCTTATTCAATGTCGAAAAATTTTGAATAAAGAGCTCGTGTTATTTTTCTGTTTCTTTCCTTCTAGCCCCAATCATCCTTCTGATGATACTCTCATTTTGGACTATCTAGAATTTGAATACCTTCACTTTGCTCCAGTTTATTTAACGAAGTTAACGTCCGCTAACGTAACCAGCGGTTGCTTCTTGGAATGCTTTTGATTATTTACCATATTTTTTTATGGATTATCAATCAATTCTGGAACATTTTGTATGAAATTCTTCTATTATTTTTTGTTTCTTTTAAACGTTCATCGAATCGCCTTATTTACCATCTTTCTATGTAAGAGAATGTCCAAAATCGTGCTAGATACACTATTCATAACTCAAGAACGGCTGGACCATTTTTTATATTTGATTTCCTGGATTGAGAAATTCAAGATGGCGGACGAGTTGTGTAATCATGATCTCATTCTTCTCAAAATTGATATCTGGGGGTTTTCTGAGTCGAAGATTATGATTCCTTATTCAAAATTAGGAAATTCAAGATGGCGGATTCATTATGGTGGACGAGTTTTGTAATAATGATCCGATTTCATTCAAAATTGATGTCTGGGAGTTTTCGGGCTCGGAGATTATGATTATTTCGTCAAAATTCAAATGGCGTACATGTTTTTTGATTATGATGCGAAGATTATGAATTGGGAAATTCCCGATGCGAACGAATTTTCTTATTTTGATCCGATTCTATTTGAAACTAGTCGTAGATTAGGAGCTGTGTAATAAATAGTAGTTTGAAAACTGATGAAACACGCTTGTATATAGAAAGCCAAACCAAAAAGAAGTAGAAAATAACATAATAATAGTGTGTTGATGGATATTCCACTAAAAAATATTTTCTATGCTCAAAGGTAAATCAAATCTCTAGGGATTTAAAGTAAATTCCTTTGCAATGAAAGCTAAATTTAGAAATGTATTTTCAGAATGTCTGTTGCAATTGTGGCTAATCATCGAATATACGCTCCACAATGACGATGCTTCAATCTTCTTTGACTTTTCCAAGATATACGCTAGCAGTACCTTTCCTTCTGTACATTTTTCTACGTTCCGTTCAGATAACTGTTTTTTATATTGTTCTCCAGATATTCCAGGTAATAATTGGCCTTCAGCTTCTTGAGCCGCCTTTTCGATTTGTTCAATCGCGATCAACGTCTTTCAATTGGTGTGGTGTGTTTTACTTCGTTAGAATAGAATAGAATAGAATAGAATCTTTATTGTTTACAGAAACACGTAGTTTCATAACAAGGAGTTCATACAGTTGGAGGCAGCAAAAACTTATGACTAATACAGATATACCACCGAATTGATGCAGTGGTGAAAAAGTAAATAATCACATGATAGATCCCAAAAGCGAGTAGGAAGAAAATAATAAGAACAAGAAACAAAAAAAAAAGTATAAACCCTAAATCAGGCGCCCTCTTTCCCATTACGAACATATAGATACCTAATACAATACATGTAATTGCATTAAATCTAAGTGGACGAATAGCTATGTGGTAAAATCCTCGAATAAAGTATAGTCCATTATACATTCAGCCTAAAGCACATTGACTGAGCTTTCATTCGTTCATAATAAAGGATCTGAGCTTACAAATATTCCAAATGTGGGTACTCAGACTTTTTGCAGATGAGGGCGTAATATCATTGAAGAGGTTAACCAACCCGTTCAAATCAGAGAGAGGTAGGTCTGGAGGTTTCATCGTGACGTAGATCGGACAATCGAATAGGAGATGATTGATTGTTTCATATTGATGTTGATTGCAGATGGTACATATTTCAGCAGGATTCATTCGATAGGTAGCTCTGTTATATGTGAATTTAATGGCGTATTTGCTAGCGAGTCTGAGTTGAGCCAGGGTTCGAGTAACCGAAATAGGGATTCTCATGTGTAGGTACTGTTGGGCACCAGTATTCATATTGAAGTAGCTATAAAGGGTAAGGGAGCTTGAGGATCCATTCAATAGAGCCATATCATTTTCCCTTAGTTTCTCGAAGTATTTAGTGAACATTATTTTTTTGTTTCGCCTTAGGATACTGCTGTTCAACTCATTCAACGAGTAGGAGGAATCCGCGTACTCGAGTTGACATTTGAATTGTGAAGCCCAGTTATACCTGATGAGACCGGACGCATTTCCGTTGGCTAGATCAATTTGACGAAGGAGACATATTTTCGGAATGCGATGATCTTCCATCTCAAGTATCTTAATAAACCAATTCAAGGTGTGTTTGAAGATGATATAGCTTAATCTGACTCGGCCTGTCTCTATTCTGACTGCATAATCAGGTGTTGTAGTAGACAATTGCAAGAGCCGTTTGAAGAAGTTGAGTTGTACTCTCTCTAAGATTTCTGGATATCTAAGACCCCACACTGGTACACAGTTCAACAGCACACTTTGTACCAATGATTCAAATAGGTGAACCCGAGAATTCCAGCAATCTAATTTGGCAGAAGCCATAATGGGGAGTAATGCTCCTGTTGCTTGTTTTGCTTTTTCTGAGGTGATGTTGGCCATCTGTCGGAAAAATGAAGAACTCGTAAATGTGACTCCAAGGTAAGTGTATTGATTCGAAATTTCTATACGATTATTTTTATAAAAGAATGAGTAGGAATTGTTTTTGGAAGGACTTCTAGCAAAAGGAACGATTTTTGTTTTACTAGTATTGACTGTTAACATGTTCTTATCTGAGTATTCTTCAAGAATTTTCAATTTACGCGAGAGATCAATTTCTGAATCCGCTAAGATGACGAGGTCATCCGCGTAAAGAAGCATCATCAAATTATTTTTGTTATCAATGTTCAAACCTTCTGCTCCCTTTCCAGTGAAATATTCTTCTATGTCTGACATAAAAAGAGAAAATAGTAGAGGACTGAGCGACTCACCTTGTAGCACTCCTGTTGTGATGTCGAACTGCTTTGTGTACCCGTCAGCAGATTTGATGATAACTGTCGATGAGTTGTAGATATTTTTTAGTATAGAGATATATCTTGAGCTCAGGCCGGTATTGTACAGTTTGTGCCAGAGTAAGTTATGATTGATGGAGTCAAAGGCTCTTTTGTAATCAACAAATAAGGCGAAAACTTTCCTTTTTCTGAGTCTTAGTTGGAGTTGAATTATACAACACAAAGAAAATACATTGTCTATACATCCTCGCGTTTTTCGAAATCCCGATTGACATTCAGGGATTATACGTGTTTCTTCAGACCACGTGATCAGCCTATTTAGCAAAACTTGGGTGAAAATTTTTGCTATACAGTTAATTAATGCAATGCCTCTATAGTTCTCAGGATCGTCTATGGGCCCTTTTTTGTGGATCATTTTTAGCACTATTTCGCCCCAATTGCAAGGAGTGACTTGTGATTCGAACATTTTATTGAACATATTTGTCAGATATAGAACCCAGTTATTCGGTAAATATTTATAAAACTCGTAAGGTATTTTATCTGCTCCTGGAGACTTGTTAAATTGGCATTTATTGAGTACTGCATAGATTTCGAAGGTGGTGAAAGGTTCGTCAAGAAAAGGGTTTCTAACATCAAAGAATATTGTGTTGTCAATGATCCGCGGCTGAGTAATGTTTTCATAAAAAAATTCCCACACTCTTAGTGGTAGGTTAACTTGTGGATTTTTACTCCGGAATTGTTTAAGAGTGGACCAAAAAGTTTTTGCATCTTTGCTGTTCGCTAGTGTATCAACAAGTTTCTGATTGTGAGCCCATTTTTTTAGTTTGATTGTTTTTTTGTACTCTTTTTTACTGTGTAGAAATGTTTCCCTAAATTCTGCCGAGAAATTGTATTTTCTGTAGTTTTTCAAATTGATCTTTACCTGCAGTTTCATGTGGTAGCACTCTTCATCAAACCAGGGTTGTTTACACCTACGGTTAGATTTCACAGTTTTGATTAATTTCATATCAGTGGCAGTCTCAATGATTGCACTCAAAAAGTTATCATAGCATAAATGGATATCATCACTATGCATCGCCCTACGAGAATGTTGCATTTTTAATTTATAGTCGAGCGCACAGTTCTCTACCCACCTGAAAATACATTGGGAGATTTCTGTAGTGACCTTTTCAGTAGTATCGGAGTCTACGTCGGAGTTGACATGTATCGAAACGGGAAAATGGTCTGAAGTATGAATTTCATTCTGTACAAAAAAAAGTTTTAAACAGGGTAGATGCGGATTGCTCAACCAGACGAGGTCAATTACACTGCTTCCTTGGTAACCAATATGAGTAAATTGGCCAGGTCTATCATTAGCAGTCCTACCATTAAGTAATGTGAACGAGTTGTCGCACATGAATTCATTGATAGTACGCCCTCTTCGTTACTTTTTATAACACACCAAGATTTTCAATGGGCTTATATCACAAAAAAAAATTATTTTGTAATTCGATAGAACTCACCCAAACTAGCTCACCACCGCAAACCGTTTCTTGCTGCGAGCTCCCTACGTTTTATAGAAAATTATTGAAATCGCCGATTTTTCGGACCTCTGAAAACGAGTCGATGATGTGACGTCAAAACCCTAATACTGATACAAGACTATTCCAGACAGAGATGAATGATACATGATTTCTGACAGAGTGAATTAGCGCGAGATCACAGTTGACAGAATTAATATATCAGTTGCCACAGTCTCCGTCGGGCGTTTGGTATTTTCTTTTAACTATGGCGAGATGAGGTTTCTACGTCATAAGACGGTCCGTTTTCAGAAGGTACTAATCATGTATGTCCGAAAATAAAACATTCCAGTTAATTTTTCGATCGAATTATGTCGTCAATCATGTTTTATGTATAAAAGGATCATTATAAACATGGTTTGAGTTGAAAGTTCTACTAAGGTGTACACGCCCATTGCCGATGACAATCATGATCTGGATCACCATAGTTACTGAAGTCGTTGATATGGTAAAAATCAGCCTCTTCGATGATGGTTTAGAAATAGAGTAACTATGGTTTAGTAGCATTTAATTTTTTCTCTAAAGTTTTACCTATCCTGAGGTGCATAATAGTAGATTGTTTTATTAGGATCAAAAGTGACACTTTGTTTGACAAGCGAATTTTGCATTTGCGAGGCGGAGCGTTTAGCGAAGCCGAGCGAAAGCAAAATTTGCGAGTCGAACAAAGTCACTTTTGATCCGAATGAAACATGCTATTTTTTCTGCAATCGAAACAAATAACTCAAATAAATATGTGAAGTTACCACCAATACCGTGCCATATGTATGCAATGCAACAAATATCGAAAAATAATCCGTGTGGTGAGAACATTCTACCTGCATCAACAGCAGGTTCATTCAATTTTCAAGGATGTTCGAATTGTAGTTTCAATATAAATACAATCACAGAGTGACATATTTGTGTATGGACCAGGTGCTCTAATGGCAAATACCGCGTCAGTGCCAGCTGTAGAAACAAGACTTGGAAAATGTTAGGTTAGTGAGCACATCAACAATAAGAATAGCAATAATTTTTTCCTCTCCGTAATACAATGTTTGTCGCTTGATAATCAAATGAAGGTTAACAATATCGTCGTTTGAGACAAAAAACTATTGCTTGCCGTGATTATACAAAAACAAGTTATCCATCCCGAGAATAACGAATAAAATACAGATCAAGCAAGTATTTGAATCTTGAAGGCTTCCCTGATCAAAACAAAAATACTTAACTGAGATGTTTATAATTCCAATACTAAACTATAATAAGGTGTATTTATATCTCCAGCATGGGTATGAAATGCCAAATCTGCTGAAATCGGAAACAAATCAGGTATGCGTCTCAACCCAAATAACCAACCGTCACAATGTTGTTCATTCTTGATGACGTCCAGTAGATCCTTTTTAGTTCCTAGGAGCTAAAGTTCAACTTTAGTTCCTAGGAGCTAAAGTTCAACTTTAGCTCCTAGGAACTAAAATTCAACTTTAGCTCCTAGGAACTAAATATGTTGTCTAGCAACATACCTATTTTTGTGTCAGTAATAGAAACGTCAATTTAAGAGCTAATTTTGGTATCAAAATGGACGACTTTTGTGTCGGTTGCAGAAAAAATATTATATACACCTCAGGACTAAAGTGTTTTTAAATCCCTCGTTCCCGTTGGTCGGACTATTAACTTTTTGTCTAGGAATCTAAAATACCACTTTATTCCCTAGGTGTATAATGTGTACTATTTCAGGTACCACTTGCAAGCATTCCGTCACCTCTACGTTCTGGCAGTAGAACCGAGACTGATCATCCCGAAAGAGATTCACGCCAACGAGATTTGCTATGCCAATCTGAGGGTGGTGAAATTGAACGGCATCGAGATGAATATCAAAGGGCCCGGCATCGTGCCCGATTTGAATACCTTGGCCAAAGTATCGGTGGACGATGAACGGTATTGGCCTGTCGTGTTCGAGAGAAGCAGGAACTGGGAACTATTGGAGTGAGTGGCAATATTTTTTCTTAATCCTTTTTCAAAACTAAGTAAATTTACAATGGGGAAGTTTTCTTCAGATGAGTTTTCATAAAATAGGTTCGGAACCCTCTAATTTTATGTCCACGCTGTACAGAATGGCGATCGATAAAGTCCAAGTCGTTTTCATTTTCAAATTAAAGGTATATACATTTTTTTCGATTTCAAACTATTCGACCCTCAAGAAATTAAGACCAATTAATTCTTCGTCATTTTAGAATTGTTTTCAACTTTTCAACTTCGTCATTGTTGGTTAGATCAGGTTAAAAATTCATTCACATGGATTCCTCAAAGTTCTACACACGAATATCGAATCGATTCTCCTCTATTGTCATTTTTGTAAAATTCTCAACTTTCCCATTGATCGTCAGATCGTACTGAACATTGATATACAGTGATCTGGGTGTGCTAATCCCAAATATTGGATCGATTTTTCTGAATCTAGCATGGTTCACGGGGTAGTCCGCCATTTTAGAATCAATGTCAACATTTCAACTTTGTCATTCATGATCTGAACTCGCTGAAAATTCATATACTGTAAGAGTCTTTATTCTGGGGCCCTTACTTTGACGCTCTGTTCAGGACAGGAGACTACTCTGGTATTTGACAGGGGGGGATTCTCGAGCGCCAGATTTTTGATAAAGGTGATTTACTTCACCTGCTCCTCCCAACTTAGTCGGGAAGGAGGCCCACAGTAGCAACAGTGGAGAAAGGTACAGGAGGTATACCTACCTCGGTACCCACAGTATAATCCAGGGGTCAATGGTATTGAATCGACCTGGAATTTATAAGTAGCCAAGGGAGTGTAGGCTTTAATTACAAACCCTGGGTCTAGCCTGGAATACTGGTTGCTATTTCTGGTCTGGATAATTACAGGAATCAAAGCAAAATATCTCTCAGGTCTTTGGTATTTTAAGGTTAGGTCTGGAAGATTATTTACTCAACTATTTCATCATTTCTACCTGGAGAATCGGAAACACAGTTCTAAACGAATTAAACAGATTCAATTTCTATTTATCTTTTCTTTTCCTTCGATTTTTCTAATTTTCTAATATCGGATTTTTAGTGAGGTTAATTAATTATATTTTTCCATTAACGTCAATAGTTCATGAAACATAGAACACTGCCTGACGGGATACAAAGCACAGAGACACCGGTGCACGGTGCACAGGACTGGATTTCTCAAGGAAAAGAAGAAGAAGAGTTGTTAACTGGCTTGTCAGTGTCAGTCGTCAGCCAATAATAATATTCTGCAATTTTGACAAATGAAAATATTGAAAATCACTAAATAAATTATTGAACTATTTGGAACTGAAAACAATGACAACAGAGAAGGAAATATGAAATATGCAATCACAAAATCCGTTTATTCAATTTAGAGTTCTGGATTCTTTACACAGGTCGGGTGAGTATCGGTGTGAAAAACAACAGGAATGAAATGAGGCTATAAACAGGATGAATAACACTGGTGAAAAATATACAAACTTACATGTGTAACAGGAAATCACTATACAATACTATTTTACACTGGTTTTGAATGAACTATGAGAGCACTAAAAGATCAGCTTGAGAATCAGGAGCTTGAAGAGCAACGGAGATCAGGTAGTGTAGACTTGTGGAGAAGAGCTTAGAGAGAGTCTGTCCCGAATCCTTGGCTGTCTTCAGTATTTATGCACTGCTTTGGCCTTGGCACAAGGACAAGTAAATCTGGAATCTCATTGGTCACAACTCCCACCTTGTCATGGCTCATGGCCATGGCCACTGAATCTGTCCTTGAAAAACACATGTGCACCTCCAACACAAAACGCGGAAAAAATAATATTACACCCTAAATGGGCACAGGAACAGAATCTACTACCTTTGCTTATGCTACTGAATGAATTTGGCTGGAAAATATTCAATAACAACAAAGTTATGAGCAGTTAAACATTCATCATTTCAACTGATAAATAATTCAATCAAATTTCATATCATGAGCAAAGGGTTGAAAAATATTGAAGTCTTTAGGGTTGTAATGATGTTCATCAGCTTTTACTATCAGGAAAAGCTTTGTGAAGTCAGGAATCAATGCATTACTCAGCTCTCTCAGGTTTTCAGGTTTCGAGCTTTCGAACAGGTGAAATTCAACTAGAATCAGGCTCAGGTACTTAGATTTTGATCAAAACCAGTCTAGTAATGAAGCTGGTCAAAAACACTTCATTACAATACTGGATGTTCTCGATGTGCCAAAGACAAATCTGGCATTTTAATCCGGAAAATTCGTCTTCCATTTCAACTTCTTCATTCATGATCAGAACGTGCTGCTGAAATTTCATGTACAGGATGTTCTCGGAGTGCCGAATACGAATCTGGCATTTCAATCCGAAAAATTCGTCTTCCATTTCAACTATTCAACTTTTTCATTTATGATCAGAACGTGCAGAAAATTCATATACAGGATGTTCTCGATGTGCCGAATACGAAACTGGCATTTTAATCCAGTAAATTTGTCTACTATTTCAACTCTTCAACTTTTTCATTTATGGTCAGAACTTGCTGAAATTTCATATACAGCGTGTTCTCGATGTGCCGAACACGAATCCGGCATTCCAATCCGAAAAATTCATTCATTCAAAAAATTCGACTTCCAGAAAAGGTCACTTATTTTATTTATAGTCAGATCTTCCTGAACATTTATGCTATGTTCTCGGTGTGTTAAGCACCAGTATTGGATGGTGTATCTGGCATAACTCTCGAGTTAGTCGCCATTTTTGAACTTATTTCAACATTTCAACTTCTTCATTTATGACCAGATCATGCTGAAATTTCATATACAGGATGCTCTGGGTGTGTCGAGTACGAATCTAGCATTTCAGTCTAGATAATTCGTCTTCCATTTCAACTTTTCAACTTCTTCATTTATGGTCAGCTCAGACTGAAAATTCAAATACAGCATGTTCTCGATGTGCTGAACACGGATCCGGCGTTTTCAGCCAAAACATTCGTCTTTCAGAAAAATTCTTTCCTCCACCGGCTACATCGAAGTGAAACAGCGAGCCGGTTGCCTCAACTATTTTCTGTATCTGGTATGGTTCACAAGGTAGACGCCATTTCACATTCGAATTCAATTTTTAACGTCTTCATTTATGATCAGAACGTGCTGAAAATTCATATACAGGATGTTCTTGATGTGCCGAATACAAATCTGGCATTTTAATCTGGAAAATTCGTCTTCCATTTCAACTTCTCAACTTTTTCATTTATGATCAGACCGTGCTGAAATTTCATATACATCATGTTCTCGATGTGCCGAACACGAATCCGGCATTTTCATCCAAAAAATCCGACTTTCAGAAAAATTCTCTCCACCACCGGCTACATCGAAATGAAACAGCGAGCCGGTTGCCTCAGCTACTTGGCCGACAAATTTGGCTATCACAGCCAATTGGCTAGAACTTTGACCCATTGCCGCCTCCATAGCCACTTAATTTATTTATAATCAAATCATCCTGAACATTTATGTAATGTTCTTGGTGTGTATTGGATCGTTTTTTCTGTATCTTGCATGGTTCACGAGTTAGTCGCCATTTTTTAATATATTTCAACTTCTCAACTTTTTCATTTATGATCAGATCGTGCTGAAATTTCATATACAGAATGTTCGCGATGTGTCAAATACGAATCTGGCATTTCAATCCAGGAACTTTCATTTCAACTTTTTGAAAATTCATACACAGGATGTTCTCGATGTGCCTAATACGAATCTTGCATTTCAATCCCGGAAAATTCGTCTTCCTTTTCAACTCTTCAACTTTTCCATTCGTGATCAGAACGTGCTGAAATCTCATATACAGGATGTGCTTGCTGTGCCGAATTCGAATCTGGCATTTCAATCCAGAAACTTCAATTTTCAACTTCTCAACTTCTTCATTCATGGTCAGATCATGCTGAAAATTCATATACAGCATGTTCTCCATGTGCCGAACACGAATCCGGTATTGTCATCCAAAAAATCCGACTTTCAGGAAAATTCTCTGCACCACGGGTTACATCGAAGTGAAACAGCGAGCCGGTTGCCTCAGCTACTATTTTCTGTACCTGGTATGGTTCACAAGGTAGACGCCATTTCACATTCGAATTCAATTTTTAACGTCTTCATTTATGATCAGAACGTGCTGAAAATTCATATACAGGATGTTCTTGATGTGCCGAATACAAATCTGGCATTTTAATCCGGGAAATTCGTCTTCCATTTCAACTTCTCAACTTTTTCATTTATGATCAGAACGTGCTGAAATTTCATATACAGCATGTTCTTGATGTGCCGAACACGAATCCGGTATTTTCATCCAAAAAATCCGACTTTCAGAAAAATTCTATCCACCACCGGCTACATCGAAGTGAAACAGCGAGCCGGTTGCCTCAGCTACTTGGCCGACAAATTCGGCTACCGCAGTCAATTGGCTAGAACTTTGACACATTCGGAGGTGGTGCCGTGGGACCCTTCTGCCGCCTCCATAGCCACCTTCACCTCCGACAAGGCCATCCGATTGTTTTGCAGGAATTTCATCAAGGGCGGGGAGGAAGGTAAGGGGGAGGTTAGCCCATTGGAGAGGCGGCTCAAACAGGCGCTGTCGAAGATAACGTACGATGCTGTGGTGAAGGATAAGTTGGTGGTGATCGTCGTGTTCATGGCTTTGATCAAGGTGAGTGATTTGATTTCTACCGGGTGATACGTTATAAAGGACCACTCCCTATAATTCTTTTGTTGTTCACAGTAGAAAAAAAATAAAGAACGGCCTCTTAGGGATTTTATTTCATGCCTTGAATCTTTATCTCAGGAAATATTCAGAGAAATGTATGAATTCTAAATGGAATCCTATGAATATTTCATCGCCATTGGAAAGGCATCGTGAAGAGTATTCCGAAAATACCCTACTTAATATATTTAATCTTCTGTATTTCTCGAAATAAGGGATTTCAATGCCATTTTTTATCAAAGGTACCGCAAGAAAAAAAAAGCAGGATCCCTGAAGGACCCTGTATATCAAATTTGAAAGTCGTACGACAAAGTTGGTTCATTCTAGGTTCTAAAAAAGAAGCAAGGTTGGCGTCAGAATGGGCTGAAAATTGGTAAGTATACAGGGCGTTCTTGATGTGCTGAACAAGAATATGAAGTCTGTTTTTATCTCTATTAGTTTCCAAGATATTTGCGATAGAACATTGAAAAACTTGCCTGAAAGATCGCTGAAATGATGGTGAAGATTTTTTTTCGTTGACAAAGTACGTGAGGAAAGCGGGTTGAAAATAACTACTTTTTCATAATAAAAGCTAGAGAGCTGTGCTTCTACTCCGCACTAGGGCATCCCTCATGGGCCCTGTATATCAAATTTGAAGGCCCTACGACAAAGTTGATTTTTGGGTCTGAAATAAAAACAAAGTTTAACCCCTTTGAACTTTTTTCTATCCTACTCCAGGCGTCAGAATGGCCTGAAAACTTGTGTACATTGGTTTCCGAGATATTTGCGATCAAAAATTGAAAAAAATATCTGAAAAATCGCTGAAATGATGGAATTTTTTTTTTCGTTTTCAAAATAGGTGAATGAGTTTAGTTCCACTGACAATTCAGTCGGTCTCAAAAAATCGATCTCCATGCAATCGAACCAAGTACTAGATCGAGCCATTTTTTCTCAAAGGTACCGCAAGAATAGAATAGCGGTTCAAAAATCACTAGTTTTCCAGATTAAAGCTTGAGCTGAACATCCCTTAAGGACCCTGTATATCAAATTTAAAGTCCCTATGACAAAGTTCATTTTTGGGTCTGAAAAAGAAACAATGTTTCCCTTTGAACTTCTTTCATCATACTTCAGTCGTCAGAGAGGGCTGAAAACTGGTATACAGAGTGTTCTCGCTATGCTGAACAAAAATCTGAAGTCTGTTAGTTTTATCTCTGTTGGTTTCCGAGATATTTGCGATCAAAAATAGAAAAACTTGTCTGAAAGATCGCTGAAATAATGATGAAGATGTTTTTTTCGTTGGCAAAGTACGTGAATGAATTTAATTCTGCTAAAAAGGCGGTCGTTCTCATGACAACGGTCTCCATGCAGTCGAATGAGGTACTAGATCGATCCATTGTGTATCAAAGGGACCGCAAGTTAGGGAAGCGGGTGGAAAATAGTTACTTTTTCAAAATGAAAGCCAGAGAGCTGTGCTTCTACTCCGCACTAGGGCATCCCTTAAGGGCCCTGTATACCAAATTTGAAGGCTCTACGACAAAGTTGATTTTTGGGTCTGAAAATGAAACAAGGTTAACCCCTTTGAACTTTTTTCATCTAATTCGAATCTCCAGAAATGGCTCAAAACTTACATACAAGGTGTTCCCGATTTGCTGAACAAGAATCTGCAATACGTTTGTCTTCATCTCTATTGGTTCCCGTAAAATTCCTAGACAAAAATTGGAAAAAATGTCCCAAAGATCGCTGATATGATGGCGAAGAATTCTTTTGGTGGGCAAAATACGTGAATGAATTTGAGTTCCGCCCTTGATTATATACACCATACTCAATGGTTCCGCTGAGACTTCAGGATTACTAGATCGAGCCATTTTTTATTTAAGGTACCACAAGGATGGAAAAACAGGTCAAAAATTGCTATTTTGTTGAAATAAAAGCTAGAGAGCTATGCTTCTACTCTGCACCAGGGCATCCCTTGAGGGACCTGTATACCAAATTTGAAGGCAATAGGACAAAGTTGATTTTTGGGTCTGAAAAAGAAACAAGGTTAACCCGTTTGAATATTTTTCATCCAATTCGAGGCGTCAGAATGCACCAAAAACTTGCATACAGGATGTTCTCGATGTGCTGAACAAAAATCTGAAGGTTATTACTTTTTATCTCTATTGGTTTCCAAGATATTTGCGATCGAACATTTAAACACTTGTTTGAAAGATCGCTGAAATGATGGCGAAGATTTTTTTTCGTTGGAAAAGTACGTGAATGAATTCAGTTCTGCTAAAAAGGCAGTCTTTCTCTGGACAACGGTCTCAATGCAGTCGAATGTAGTACCAGATCAATCCATTCTCAATCAAAGGTACCGCAAGGAAATAAAAGCTGGTAAAAAATTGCTACTTCTCTAAAGTAAAAACTAGAGCGCTGTGCTTCTACTTCGCACTAGGACATGCCTTGAGGACCCTGTGTATAAAATTTGAAGGCCACACGACAAAGTTCATTTTAGGGTCTGAAAGACAAACAAAGTGTAACACCTTTGAACTTTTTTTATCCTACTCCAGGCGCCAGAATGGCCTGAAAACTTATGTACATTGGTTTCCGAGATATTTGCGATCAAAAATTGGAAAAAATTATCTGAAAAATCGTTGAAATGATGGCATTTTTTTTTCGAAATACGTGAATGAATTTAGTTCCACTAAAAATTCAGTCGTTCTCATGAAATCGATCTCCATGCAGTCGAACGAGGTACTAGATCGAGCCATTTTTCATCAAAGGTACCGCAAGAAAAGAATAGCGGTTCAAAAATCACTACTTTTCCAAATCAAAGCTTGAGCTGTACTTCTTCTCCACATTGGGACATCCCTTAAAGACCCTGTATATCAAATTCAAAGGCCCTATGACAAAGTTGATTTTTGTGTCTGAAAAAGAAACAATGTTTAACCCCTTTAAACTTTTCATCATACTTCAGTCGTCAGAGAGGGCTGAGAACTGGTATACAAAGTGTTCTCGCTATGCTGAACAAGAATCTGAAGTCTGTTAGTTTTATCTCTGTTGGTTTCCGAGATATTTGCGATCAAAAATAGAAAAACTTGTCTGAAAGATCGCTGAAATAATGATGAAGATGTTTTTTTCGTTGGCAAAGTACGTGAATGAATTTAATTCTGCTAAAAAGGCAGTCGTTCTCATGACAACGGTCTCCATACAGTCGAATGAGGTACTAGATCGATCCATGGTTTATCAAAGGGACCGCAAGTTAGGGAAGCGGGTGGAAAATAGCTACTTTTTCAAAATAAAAGCCAGAGAGCTGTGCTTCTACTCCGCACTAGGACATCCCTTGAGGGCCCTGTATATCAAATTTGAAGGCCCTAAGACAAAGTTGTTTTTTGGGACTGAAAATAAAACAAGGTTAACCCCTTTGAACTTTTTCCATCCAATTCGAATCGCCAGAAATGGCTCAAAACTTGCATACAGGGTGATCTCGATGTGCTGAACAAGAATCTACAATCCGTTTGTTGTTATCTCTATTGGTTCTCGTAATATTCCTGGACAACAATTGAAAAAAAAATGTCTCAAAGATTATTGAAATGATGGCGAAGAATTATTGTTTTCGTAGGCAGAATACGTGAATAAATTTTAGTTCCGCTAGCAATTCAGGCGTACTAGATCGAGCCATTTTTTATCAAAGGTACCACAAGGAAGGAAAAACAGGTGAAAAATTACTATTTTGTTAAAATAAAAGCTAGAGAGCTGTGCTTCTACTCCGCACTAGGGCATCCCTTGAGGGCCCTGAATACCAAATTACGACAAAGTTGATTTTTGGGTCTGAAAATGAAACAAGGTTAACCCCTTTGAACTTTTTTCATCCAATTCGAATCGCCAGAAATGGCTCAAAACTTGCATACAGGGTGTTCCCGATTTGCTGAACAAGAATCTGCAATTCGTTTGTCTTTATCTCTATTGGTTCCCGTAAAATTCCTAGACAAAAATTGAAAAAAAATGTCCCAAAGATCGCTGATATGATGGCGAAGAATTCTTTTGGTTGGCGACATACGTGAATGAATTTGAGTTTCGCCCTTGATTATATACACCATTCATATACAGGATTACTAGATCGAGCCATTTTTTATTTAAGGTACCACAAGGATGGAAAAACAGGTCAAAAATTGCTATTTTGTTAAAATAAAAGCTAGAGAGCTGTGCTTCTACTCCGCACTAGGGCATCCCTTGAAGGCCCTGTATACCAAATTTGAAGGCCTTACGACAAAGTTGATTTTTGGGTCTGAAAATGAAACAAGGTTAACCCCTTTGAACTTTTTTCATCCAATTCGAGGCGTCAGAATTGACTCGAAACTTGCATACAGAGTGATCTCGATGTGCTGAACAAGAATCTGCAATCCGTTTGTTCTTATCTCTATTGGTTTCCGTAATATTCCTTGACAAAAATTGAAAAAAAATGTCTCAAAGATCGTCGAAACGATGGCGAAGAACTCTTCTCGTGGGCAAAATACGTAAATGAATTTTCGTTCTGCTAAAAATTCAGTCGTACTAGATCGAGACATTTTTATCAAAGGTACCGCATGGATGGAAATTCAGGTGAAAAATTGCTATTTTGTTAAAATAAAAGCTAGAGAGCTGTGCTTCTACTCCGCACTAGAGCATTCCTCAAGGGCCCTGTATACCAAATTTGGAGGCCCTACGACAAAGTTGATTTTTGGGTCTGAAAATGAAACAAGGTGAGGTCTGAAAATGAAACAAGGTTAACCCCTTTGAACTTTTTTCATCCAATTCGAGGCGGCATAATTGACTCGAAACTTGCATACAGAGTGATCTCGATGTGCTGAACAAGAATCTGCAATCCGTTTGTTCTTATCTCTATTGGTTTCCGTAATATTCCTTGACGAAAATTGAAAAAAAATGTCTCAAAGATCGTCGAAACGATGGCGAAGAACTCTTCTCGTGGGCAAAATACGTAAATGAATTTTCGTTCTGCTAAAAATTCAGTCGTACTAGATCGAGACATTTTTATCAAAGGTACCGCATGGATGGAAATTCAGGTGAAAAATTGCTATTTTGTTAAAATAAAAGCTAGAGAGCTGTGCTTCTACTCCGCACTAGGGCATTCCTCAAGGGCCCTGTATACCAAATTTGAAGGCCCTACAACAAAGTTGATTTTTGGGTCTGAAAATGAAACAAGGTTAACCCCTTTGAACTTTTTTCATCCCATTCGAGGCTTCCGAATTGACTTAAAACCTACATACAGGGTGTTCTGGATGTGCTGAACAAGAATCTGCAATTTGTTTGTTTTTATCTCTATTGGTTCCCGTAATATTCCTAGACAAAAATTGAAAAAGAATGTCCCAAAGATCGCTGAAATGATGGCGAAGAATTCTTTTCGTGGGCAAAATACGTAAATGAATTTTTGTTCTGCTAAAACTTCAGTCGTACTAGATCGAGCCATTTTTATAAAAGGTACCACAAGAATGGAAAACAGGTGAAAAATTGCTATTTTGTTAAAATAAAAGCTAGAGAGCTGTGCTTCTACTCCGCACTAGGGCATCCCTTGAAGGCCCTGTATACCAAATTTGAGGGCCCTACGACAAAGTTGGTTTTTGGGTCTGAAAATGAAACAAGGTTAACCCCTTTGAACTTTTTCCATCCAACTCGAGGCGTCAGAATTGACTCGAAACTTGCATACAGAGTGATCTCGATGTGCGGAACAAGAATCTGCAATCCCTTTGTTTTTATCTCTATTGGTTCCCGTAATATGCCTAGACAAAAATTGGAAAAAAAAGTCCCGAAGATCTCTGAAATGATGGCGAAGAATTTCTTTTCTGCGCAAAATATGTGAATTATTTCAAATACCGCTAAAAATTCAGGCGTACTAGATCGAGCCATTTTTATCGAAGGTACCGCAAGAATGGAAAAGCAGTGAGAAATTGCTTTTTCGGTAAATTAAAAGCTAGAGAGCTGTGCTTCTACTCCGCACTAGAGCATCCCTTAAGGGCCCTGTATACCAAATTTGAAGGCCCTACGACAAAGTTGATTTTTGTGTCTGAAAATGAAACAAGGTTAACCCCTTTGAACTTTTTTCATCCAATTCGAGGCGTCAGAATTTACTTAAAACTTGCATACAGGGTGTTCCCGATGTACTGAACAAGAATCTGCAATCCGTTTGCTTTTATCTCTATTAGTTCCCGTAATATTCCCAGACGAAAATTGAAAAAAAAAAATGTCTCAAAGATCGCTGAAATGATGGCGAAAAATTTTTTTGTGGGCGAAATACGTGAATAAATTCTAGTTCCACTAAAAATTCAGTCGTACTAGATCTAGCAATTTTTATCAAAGGTACTGCAGGATGGAGAAAGAGGTGAAAAATTGCTATTTTGTTCAAATAAAAGCTAGAGAACTGTGCTTCTACTCCGCACTAGGGCATTCCCCAAGGGCCCTGTATATCAAATTTGAAGGCCCTACGACAACGTTGATTTTTTGGTCTGAAAATGAAACAAGGTTAACCCCTTTGAACTTTTTTCAACCAATTCGAGGCATCAGAATTGACTCAAAACTTGCATACAGGGTGTTCTCGGTGCGCTCAATAAGAATCTGCAATCCCTTTGTTTTTATCTCTATTGGTTCCCGTAATATGCCTAGACAAAAATTGGAAAAAAAAGTCCCGAAGATTGCTGAAATTATGGCCAAGAATTTCTTTTCTGGGCAAAATATGTGAATTATTTCAAATTCCGCTAAAAATTCAGGCGTACTAGATCGAGCCATTCTTATCGAAGGTACCGCATGGATAGAAAAACAGGTGGAAAATTGCAATTTTTTAAAAATAAAAGCCAGAGAGCCGTGCTTCTCCTCCGCACTAGAGCATCCTTCAAGGGCCCTGTATACCAAATTTGAAGGCCCTACGACAAAGTTGATTTTTAGGTCTGAAAATGAAACAAGGTTAACCCCTTTGAACTTTTTCCATCCAACTCGAGGCGTCAGAATGGGGTGAAAACTTACATACAGAGTGTTCTCGATGTGCTGAACAAGAATCTGAAGTCCGTTTGTCTTTATCTCTCTCGGTTCCCGAGATATCTGCGATCGAAAGATCGCTGAATTGACTGTGAACCAATATGTTGTTTTCTTTATTTCAGATGATAATAGAACTGGAAACTTCTCCAAATACTCTAAATATCTGGCAATTCAAAATCATTGCCAGGCAGGTTTTGACGAAACCAGGGAATTTACTTTCCAAAGAAATCGTGTTATCAATGCAGCAAGAAATGGAAAGTATTTTCGACACTTGGGGAGGAAACCTGAAAGGACCATTGATCGAATTTCTGTCGGGGGCTGATTTCAGAACAAACAGTGAGAAGGATATGAAGAAAATGGCAGTGTACACGCTATTTTATGATATGGTTTGGAGAAATGTCGATAAACGGGGAGATTATCTGGAAGTTTTCATCAACTTGAAGGAAAACAATTTGAATATGCAGACAATTGAAAAAATTCTAGAGGCTTTAGATGTACAGTGAGAATAATGTTATGTTGAAACTAAATAAATTATTTTTATTTTCTTAGATTCTTCTATAGGTTTTCACGAAAAAAATCTGGGTGGCGGGAAGAAAGGTGGTACCCAAAAAGCAAAAAAATCAGCCATCAACTTCATTTTTTTTATTGACATTAAAAAAGAAATAAATACAATAATAAGTGCTAAAAATAGAGTTAGCTGTATAAACATTACTTATGACTAAATCAGTTTGAGGTTTTTGCTGCCTTGAAATGTTGGAAAACTTACCAAATTGATCATGTTTTCTTAAACAATTACCAGATTATAATAATTACCTAACTTTATAAACAAAAATCATTAGTTTATTTCGTTAATATTAGATGAGATTCTGTTATTATGCTAATAGATATTAAATATACAGGGCGTTCATAAAAATATCACAAACTATGTAAAGGACAGACAATTTTCATTAACAGTGACGAAATAACAAGAAAATAACTAACAAACAAATACAGAAACGTTCTCAGTGGGCGTTGACTAGGAAATCTAGGTTTTTCGCAGAACGTCCTGTATATCTGAATTGCCCAACATTTTCATGACACCCTGTACGACAAATCAAATAAATAGGTTCCGACTTCACAATAATATTTCAGGTACTTTACAATCCAACTGAGACTGATTTAGTCTCTACATCAATCCAAGTATATACTTCTCAGTTCGAGTGGCAGTTTTTACATTCCCAACGGCAGCCATTCAATCAAGATGGCTGACAAACAAACGAAAAACACCTCGCAAACTGGTAAAACGTCGTCTCGAGAGGTTGAAAAAATCTAACCCACATATTCAATAGGTCGCGTGCATGATGACTGACTCTGATGGAGGTAAAATATGAAAACACAACCTCACTTTTCTGTAAAACATTGAAAAACAACCTCCCTCTTTTCATTTATTTACCGAGGAATCAAAGGATTGAAATAGTTTTTCACAATATTTTGACATACGAATCGTGTTTTTTGCGCTATTCATTAATTCAAACATGCCTTCGCATTGTGCTGTTGTACAATGCACAAAAAATGCAGTGAGAGACGAAGGAATATGATTCAGGTAAATAGTGATCTCACATAATCTTCATTATGAAATTTTGTCATTTCTTATTGAAATTCCTTCTGCCACTTCTGCAATAGAAGCTAATATTGATAATATATAGAGAATGTCTACCACACACACGATCATATTTCTTCAGCATGTCAGACTAGTCCTCCCGTTTGATTGCATGAATCCAATCTTCTTGCATTCTTTTAGAAATTTCACGAGTAATTCTATTAGCTCCTATTGCAGAAGGAATTACGATGAGAAATCAAAGAAATTACCAAATTTCAAAAATTAAAACTATTCAAGAGTGACTATACTTTTAAACCGGATTCCTTCGTCTCTCGCTGCATTTTTGTGCATTGTACAACAGCACAATGTGATGACAAAAAATGCAGTGGGAGACGAAGGAATCCGGTTGGAACATTATGATTCAAAAGTAAGTATCTACTATAGTCACATATAGTTTTCATTTTTGAAATTTGGTAATTTCTCTAATTTCTCATCGGAATTCCTTCTGCAATAGGAGCTTATAGAAATACTCGAGAAATTTCCAGAAGAATGCAAGAAGATTGGATTCATGCAATCAAACGGAAGGACTGGTGTCTGACATGCTGACGAAATATGATCGTCTGTGTTGTAGACATTTCCAATCTAATAGTAGTATTAGCTTCTATTGCAGAAATGGCAGAAGGAATTGTCAAGAAATTACAAAATTTCATAATGAAAACTATGTGAGATTACTGTTTACCTGAAAAATCATATTCCTTCGTCTCTCGCTGCATTTTTTGTGCATTGTACAACAGCACAATGAGAAGGCATGCTTGAATTAATGAATAGCGCAAACAACACGATTCGTATGCCAAAATATTATGAAAAACTATTTCAATCCTATGATTCTTCTGTAAACAAATGAAAAAAGTGAGGTTGTGTTTCTATGTTTAATTATTTAGTATTTACGGTGAATGATGAACCGATTTTCCTGTTATAGTGAGTTGAAATCATAAACAATCTCCAGGTAATTAGGCCTATCCATTTTTTTTTTCAATCTGCATTTGGCGAGTAAAATTATGTATTTTTTTCTATATCGTAGGATAGGACTATTCTGGTTCTCTAGGCGAATAAGCTTAATCCACATTCTTTCATAGATAATATAATAACCTTCTAGTTTGACAAATAGAAAATAAGTACAGGGTAACCATTTGAAAACGAAACAGAGGCTCTGTAGGTCGGTAGCAGCGGCAGCGCCGCAGCGATGAATATATTTTAGAACGATTGACGTGTTCCACTGTTTTTTATAATCCGGTTCTGGCGGCTTAAATAGCCTCTGTTTCGTTTTCAAATGGCCACCATGTATAGATGACGGATGAACTGATTTTTCTATTGTTATGGGTTAGCCATGTGAAAGAAATGACTTTACCCACATATTTTCTTGAATTGATATTCAATCATCAGGAAATTCGAATTATTTACACAGTGAATATCAACCAATGTGTTCTGTTTTCAACAAAAATTGGCATTTGACTAGTGGAAATCAAGTATTTTTCTCGATATTGTGGGTTAGGACTATCCACGTCCTTGGGGTGAATGAATTTTTTGTGATAATAATCGTTTGGCTGACGAAAACTGAGTTCAAATGGTGGATAGACTATGTGAAGAGGAGACATACCTCACAGATTTTTCTGGCTAATTATCTAATCAACAAAACATTTTTAAACAAGTTTCTTCTCATTGTAGGTCAACATCATACACATCCTCAATGTCTCACCGTATACTTTTTCGTTCGTTCCCGGGCCAAATTTTGTATTTAAAAATTCGACGAATAGAACATTTTTATAGACGGTGGATAAACTGATTTTCCTATTGTTGTGGGTTATCCATGTGAGAGAAATGACCTAACACATATATTTTCTTGAATGAATATTCAATCATCAGGAAATTCGAATTATTCACACAGTGAATAATATCAACCAATGTGGCAATTGTGGGTTCGGACTATCCACGTCCTCGGGGTGAATGAATTTTTTGTGATAATAATCGTTTGGCTAACGAAAACTAAGTTCAAATGGTGGATAGACTATGTGAAGAGGAGACATAGCCCACAGATTTTTCTGGCTAATTCAAATCAACATACGAGTTTCTTCTCATTGTGGGTCAACATCATACACATCCTCAAGGTCTCACCGTATATTTTTTTCGTTCGTTCCCGATGCAACTTTTTTATTTAAAAAGTTGACGAATGGAAAATATTTATAGACGGTGATTAACTGATTTTTCTATAATTGTGGGTTAGCCATGAAATGACCTCACACATATTTTCTTGAATAAATATTCAATCATGAGGAAATTCGAATTATTTACACAGTGAACAATATCAACCAATGTGTTCTGTTTTCAACAAAAATTGGTATTTGACTAGTGGAAATCAAGTATTTTTCTCGAAATTGTGGGTTAGGACTATCCAAGTCCTTGGGGTGAATGAATTTTTTGTGATAATAATAATCATTTGGCTGATAAAAACAAAGTTCAAACGGTGGATAGACTATGTGAAGAGGAGACATACCTCACAGATTTTTCTGGCTAATTATCTAATCAACAGAACATTTTTGAACGAGTTTCTTCTCATTGTAGGTCAACATCATACACATCCTCAATGTCTCACCGTATACTTTTTCGTTCGTTCCCGGGCCAAATTTAAAAATCAGGGGGTTCAAACTTGAACGATGGAAACTAGTGATTTTTATAGACCTCTAATAGCAGATTCGTGATCGAGTCTCAATACAGAATTTCTTTCCACGCCCTGTATGATGAATGTCAATTTATCATACATCCAAAAGCATATTTATAGACGGTGGATAAACTGATTTTTCGATTATTGTGGGTTAGCCATGTGAAAGAAATGACCTAACCCACATATTTTCTTGAATAAATATTCAATCATCAGGAAAATCGAATTAATTACAGTGAATTATAGGTACCTATGTTTTCTGTTTTCTACAAAAATTGGCATTTGACTAGTGTAAATCAAGTATTTTTCTCGATATCGCGGATTAGGACTATCCACGTGCTTGGGGTGAATGAATTTTTTGTGATAATCGTTTGGCTAATAAACAATAAGTTCAAATGGTGGATAGACTATGTGAAGAGAACTAGATTTTTCTGGCTAATTACCTAATCAACAAAACATTTTTGAACGAGTTTCTTCTCATTGTAGGTTCACATCATACACATCCTCAAGGTCTCACCGTATACTTTTTCGACGTTCCCGATGCAAATTTTTCATTTAGAAATTTGACGAATAGAATTTTTTCATAGACGGTGGGTTAACTGATTTCACTATTATTGTGGGTTAGGCCTATCCTTGTGGAAAGGCCTAACCCAGATTTTTTCCTAAACAGTGCTAATTCATTCATTTGACTCGGCTGTTACTTGATGGGAATCCAAAGTAAATGAAAGAAACTTCATCTTATCTTCATCAAATCTCAATGTTTGTGAAGTTTTTCACATCTAGAAATGCGAATGATTTACATGAAGCTAACCGAGATATTGTGAGTTGGACCTTTTCAACCTCCGATACGACAAATACCAATCCAAATTTGCTGACAATAGCGACATTAATCTTGCAGCCATCTTGTACAACAATAAAACAAAAATACTGGATCGAACTATACCCTTATACTTGTCAATAATACGCTCGTCATTCAAATAAAAAAAAAATCACCAAGTTGTACCTTCTCCAGTAGCTTTCCAGTG